TTTTGAAAATGGTTTGATAGTAGCCAGAGAGTCGACAAAAACTACAGAACACTAGACAATTGTTTCATGATGATTAGAAATGTTATTTTAATTACTACTTCCTGTTTAGGATAGATCACAGTTTTAAACTATGGATCCGATAATCAAGAATAGCAAACTAGGATGTTAAATTACTCAGCCTAATGGCCACATTCAAAATCGATCAATTGAATTCTATTGACACCGAGGATTAGACAATATGACGTTGGTAACTACACATTGACAAATCAGTGTGACGATATCAGGTTAACAAGAGATCATTCACAATATGAATGGATTAGCGGTACCTTGTATAGCTGTGACATGTGTCTATGTCTCACAGAGAGTACCTATTACTATAAGACACCAGATACGCTTAGCTGACAAGTCCTAACTAATCCGGAACGTAGGTCTAGGTTGTCCTGGAGATTATATTCAACCATCTTACTTCAGGTCAAGTGAACACTATTGCAAGTGACTCAGACTACCAACCTCTAATAATTTGGCCAGCCGATTTCAATAATCAGTGGTGATTACAAAAACAAAGTAGAAGTTAACAATCAACAAACAGAAAGTGTAAAAAAATTCATAACTACGGATATATGGTCATACTGAAAAAAATTTAAAATCGATTTATTTTATTTTTAACTAACACTATAATTATCTTTAGATGTCATAATCAGTGGAGTTCAATTGCGAGGGTAGTAGATGTGCAGTGCTGATGAGTCTCATACTGAGAAACGGCCGTCCAGCGCTTTCACGTTTCTAGAAGTGGTCCTGATTAGATCGATTCGTGATTTCAAGCATGAAAAAGGTGAATAAGCGTCTCTTCAATTCACACTGGTTACTTTCTATGAATACACAGTTAACGAAAACTATTCACTATTATTGTGCTCTAATAATAAATTGTGTTGATCCCTATACTAATCTTCTAATACCTAATTTTTGTATTATAAAAAGAAAAGTTTTTCATGTCTAGCGAAACCATCGTTCATGATGTCTAATAGGTTTAGTAAAAGGAGGAACAATCATTTATCATTCCAGAGTAGGATAGAAAAAGTTTGCGGAAATTAGTTTTGAAAGTATTCTGAGATTCCTAACACTAATTTTTACATGAGATTAAAAATGATTTCATTCGGTCAATGGTTCACTCAATATGTACGAGGTAATTCCACCGCTATAGAATTCAGTACAAATGACCAGTGAAGTGGCAGCCTCTGCGGCAGTAGATCTCAACACACACAAAGGAAAAGCAAGATCCTCCGACACAACACAATATGCACCAACCAAATCACACTTGTTGTTGGAACTTTGCAGAGTGCAGAAATCTTTACATATTTGGGCAGAATCGTTGATGAGCAGGGTGGATTTGATGCAGATGTGAAGGCATTGTTGGGGAACAAGGGTAGCATTTGTTCAGTTGAAGAACGTCTGAAACTCAGAACAACTGTCAACCAATATCAAAGTCACAATTTTCAATACAAACGTCAACGCAGTTCTATTGTATGGAGTGGTAAGTTGGAGAATCACAAAAGACATCATACACAAGATGCAAGTGGTTATTCACAGTGTTCTACGCAAGACATTGAGGATCCGTTAGCCAGATATCATCAGTAACAACGTACTGTGTGGAAGAATAAACCAGATTTCAGATGAGTGAGAAATTAGGGAAATGTACTGGAGTTGGATAGGATACATATTGCTGGAATCACTCAACTGCATTATGAGGCAAGTCTTAACGTGGAACCCTTAAATTCATAGGGAATGATGTAGACCAAAGAACACTACGTCAAGAACCATAGATAGACATGAAAGGAATGAATATCAGTAGCTTATAATTGGAAAGGAGCGTGAAGGACAGAGTAGGTCGCAGAACGCTATTCAGCGGCCTATGCAATGGTTGGGGTAACAGACGTAACTTTGGTTTTGTTGAAATTATGAGGATTCTTTAAAAGTAACCACTTAATTTCCAATCAGTTTTTACTGGAAATGAGATATGTGTGTAAATTATGAGGTATTATCATATAAGTGAAATAATCAATGTTATTGGGTTAAATATCTTATCGTTTACTCATATCTCTTTGCTTTATATTTCCTAACTGTAGTCGTTCGTCTAATTTTTCTATTTTTAAATTTCATATTCTAATATCCAGCTAGATCAATAAATTAATCGAAACTAGCAGAAAATCAATCGGTTTAGTGGTCAAATAATTTTGTTCAAAATTATTCATTGAGAATGCATTTTTCGAACTAAGACAACACTTCTTTTGTTTTATTTCAAGCCTAGTAAGAAAATAGTGATTAAAATTTGTGATTCATAATAAAGGCGAGATTGACGACCCTAAATTAATCATTACAGGACTCAATGGACAGTTATTATGCTTATAATAACATCTAATCAATATTTAGAAAAGATGAATGAGATGACCATAGAATAAGACAACTATGTCCCATAAACATCGCACTTGTATGATGAAGACATGCACTGAAAACGTTGTTTTGTCACGTTTTTATGCCCAATTTTTTTCAGACTGATGCTAACGAATTACAAAAAGTTGATAACTTTCGTGGTTAGCAGAACACAAGTAGATAAGAGAGCTTTCTCCAGAAAATATGATTTACCAGGAACGTTTCAATGAGGAGCAGGACGATAACTTAATTGTAGATTTCATTTCATCACGAAATTGAATATATGGGAAGTATCATTTGATAGGTAATGAGGATTGTATGGTGCAATTGTATTAAACACAAGTTTGCAATGAAGTTTGTTACCAGAGGTCTTTATTTGTGGAGAGGTTGAAATATTCTGGGTCACAGTTGAGATAAGTTTACAGTTCGTAAGAATTTTAATTAATTGAGACACACTGTAATTTAGAACTATTTACAGGGAAGAATTATCTCTAAAAATTACGGATGATCTAAAGGATAAATCCTCAACATTGACTTGCTACCGTGGGATAAGTAACCTGGGGTCAGAATATTTAACATGAAATGAAACAATCTATATCATCATCTTAGCAGTTTATTCAGGGAGCTCTTTAAAATTCAGACTGACGGTCTAAAATAGGCCACACAAAACAGGTTATAATCCTTTATATTAACCAAATAAAACAGATGTTTTGTAAATTATTTTATGCAGCTACGATCAAATCATTATAATCTTGGACAGAACTAACCAATTAAAAAAGAAGGGTCAAAAAACTGTAATTTATGATTTCGTCAACGAACCATAATATCAACATTAGTGTTTGTAGTATCCCAAACAAATCACAGGTGCTTTTGAAGATAATTTCAAAATAAAATCCGTTTAAGTTAATCATGTTGTGATATAGACTTGACCGTAATTTGAAATACTTGGATTTCAGATCCATGTATGAAACAGATTGGTCGGAAACATTTGCTGATAGCGATAATCCATCAATACTTTGAACACGATGACTGAAATAATTAGATCATGTGAAATGTAGATCCAATAGTTTATATTGTTAGCTTTATATTGTTAGAAACAATGATCTGCATATTTTTTCTATTGAACAGATATTTACATATTTATGTAATTGAGAAAATCCAGTTTAAAAGTTACGAAATAAAGTCAATCATAATACACCCTACCAACTATTGTTTATGAATCAGAACGTGAAATGCATACATTCGATTAAAAATTTATTTTGTACATAAGGAGCAGGTAGGATCTGGCTGCAAGGATGGAGTTTATTCTGTGGGGAAACCAGGATTTTGGCAAAAAGAATACCAGTGAATAGTTCTGAATTTTATTTAGGGACATAACAGGTAGTTTAGTATCCATGTAACCAGAAGCGTTAAAAATATCACCTAATGAATTAATATTAATTTGTCAGATCCTAGATTATGCAGAGAGATACTAGATGTTTTTGTAACTATTTGTAAGAAACTGCTTCAGATGTAGTAGGTAAATCAGGAAATGGATTAAGTGTAGTTCTCGTAAAAGTCCTGAACACCGGTCATGCAATGCTGAGATAATCTCAAATAAAGAATCATATCACAAAACATGTATTGAAATATAAATCATTGAAACCCAGACTGATATTTCCTCTTATAAGCAATAAGATCTTACATCATTTGATTTTCGACACCAGTAGTAGGCAAAAGTAGTTTACGCGTCATTAAAATACATATGTAGCTAAAAATGTATTCGAGTGATAAAATCATATAATAAGCAGATAAATATGGTCATCAAGTGAAGCAAAACATGTCTTTCGAAAGCCGTCAGAGGTCTAACCGAATAGTACCAATGACCAGTTTGGAAAAGGACGATAAGGTGTTTTTAATTTAGCTCCAAGTTGTAATTTAATGGTTCAATATCAGGAATGAATAGGTTAAATCACCTTAAAGCTAGTCATCTCCAGATGTGCGAGTTTAAGTGATAGAACTCTTACAGCACTTGTGAATGCCGAAATTCTTGACTGTGATGCGGTGCTAGAACTCCACTCCGTAAAAAAGGAACATGGCGTCAAAGATCAGTTAATCAATCCATTTAGTGAATCGATATATTTATCGGTTGTGTTTGTCTTTATCATTTTAACAACTTGACCGAATTAAGTTATGTGGAAAGTCAATCTATTTAGATCCAATTACGGTTGGGCAACATTGAAAAGAACGAGGCATAGAGAATACGAGTTGCCAAGATAGGAAAGATGGACCAGCCGATTGTCCTTGATTGCTAACATTCCATTGGCTAAGGTAGCAATCAGTCCAGACTGCCTTTTTTTGACCAAAGGCAGTTAGCTTCATTACAAGGCCTGTCACTTGAACTAGCCAATAGAGTTTCAGATAGCAAGGCAGTCAATAGAAGATCAATAAGCTGGGCAAAGACAATTAATCGAATTTTGTTAAATTTAAGCATTAGTTTTTAGTAAACATACTACAGAAAATTTATTTCAGATTTATCTGAAGTCCTCGCATATCTATTGCAAAGCCTATGATCTGGCAACCCCTGTCTTAGCAACCAATCGATTTTTCTCTATCCATTCACAACACAGGCTAATACTGAATTGAAAAATCTCAGTCATTTGACTTCAGGCTGTCTGTTCTGTGGTTGCTACTCGTCGCGCTCTGATGTTTTGTTTGGATTTTGGCTTTGTATTCTTGACTTATACTTTGAATCGAGTTGACAAATAATGCGTGTAACACGATATTTATGGATTAATAATTTACCTGCTCGCGTTACTGAACAAGACATTCGTGATGTTTTACAGAGGTAGTTATTTCAAAATTCGGAAATTTTTTAAAATCGGATTTATTACTTTTCATTGTTGTGCACTTCTGTTTGCTATGCATGCCATTCGGATTTCGACATACGGATTTATATTTTGCTCCGTTTTCTTTTCAGTCATGGCAAAATCCAAAGCGTTCGAATTCATGAGCACGAAGGAAATAATGGTGCAGTTGTCGCATTTGTTGACACTAAATCTGCTACTCGAGCAGTAGAAAGCACAGTCCGACTAAAAAAAGTTAATCTATCCCTTCAGTACTGTGAGTCATCTGGTATACCTGGGACTAACAGTTCCGATCAGCTTGCAACAACGTTGGATTATAATCAAACTAGCAACACTAGGTAAACTATTTCTGTGACTATAATTGACGTTAACTTATCAGCCTTTTGCAGTCAGATGCAAATCATTCACGACAAAAAAGTCGATCCGTGAGTACTGTCAGTGATTCCAGTTCTGTATTTCATGATCCAGAAAACAACGAACAAATTGAAACTCGGTAGTTATCTCAAAATCAACTTTATTGACGCTTTTATTAAAATAGTTTGTCACACTCAATAAATCGGAATTATCCTAAAGATTTCAAAACCAATAACATGGATGTCAGCCCTCGCCTTCAAACCGAACATCGTGGAATAAAGATCAGTCATCTTCCCCTTCGTTCTTCAGATACAAATTTACGCGAAGGATTATTTCATGAATATAAAAAGCATGGAAAAATTACTTCAGTGTTTGTACGCGGACAAGATGAAGAACGTATCTGCATCATTACATTCAAAAAAAGTGAGGATGCCGAGAAAGCACTTGCATCATCTAAGGGTAAGGTGTTTTTCGGTACGCCCATATCGGTTCAACCTCACGAAGGCTTGAGTAAGTCCAGTATTACTAACTAGATATGCTATTTAGATTCCGAAGACCCTGATTTATGCCCTCCTGAACATGCTTTAAATGAATACCACCCTAAGGCAACGAAGACTTTATTTGTTGGGAATCTCTGTTCAGGTACAATTACTCAAGATGAACTTCGTCGTACTTTTCGTGGTTATGGTGAGATAATTGTAGGTGTTAAGTTAATTTTTGTCTAACCTCAAACAGGAAATAGATATAAAGATTCAAGCGAATCAACCAGGAACGTCGTATGCGTTCATTCAATACGGGGATATAAAAAGTGTAGTCCGAGCTTTAAAAGAGCAAGAAACTGTTCGTGTCAACGGAAAACCTGTCAAACTAGGTTTTGGTAAAAGCCAGCCAACAAATGTTGTATGGCTAGATAACTTATCACCTACCATTGATGAAGCTTTTTTGACAAGACAATTTGGTCGATACGGTCAATTGACTCACGTGGCTTTAGACAGAAAACTAATGCGAGCTCTTTTATACTTTGATAATGTTGAGGTTGCTCAGCATGCAGTGAATGAAACTCGTAATCGTGCTCTTATTGGCCGTAAGGTTCAAATTGATTATGCTGGATACGAGTGTCAAGTTGCTTTCATGAAAAAACTGGCGAAGCATGACAGTTTTGGTCAAGTTTACGAAAATTATAAGTAAGTTTCGTATCTTACGTCAGATTCATTATTATTCTCCATGTACTTAACTTTGCTTTTTCTTTAGGGAACGGTTGCAAGAAGTGTTGTCACTCTTACCATACGGAAGTGTTATCCCATATCTCGGGGATCGTCAAAGGTAAGTTTGAAATCTAACGATTGTCCTTCATTTCAATGAATTCTATTTATTCTCATGCATTTAATTCTTGTAATGTTTTACCTTTCGATATGTGTTAATTTTAAAGTATCCTAGTCAGTCAGTTATAGAAAATTAAAACCCAGCACATCGAGATTACATTGTTGAGGCATAGTCTCGAGTAATACAACAAACAGCAGTTTTGGTGGTTATAATAAAGACTAGACACCGGAGATACAACTCAGTAAGATAATATAGATTACTGGTCTGTAATTCACTTCGCTATTGTGTGTCTTGATAGTTTTCAACAACAATGTAAATTATGATTTGTTTTTGAACTCTTGTTGTGTAACTATGCTGTTCGGCCGAGAAAAGTGCTAGTGCAGACTAGGAATACCGTGGTGCAACCATAGTTTCTATTTGCTATTTCACTAGCTTATTTATGCAAGGTAGGGGCGGTCAGACCAACACAAGTCACTGATAAATGGACTGAGCCATGTTGATAGGTGTCGACTACCCGGTTGGGGCTCGCGAGATGAGTAGTCGATGGTTAGAGACCGTAAATGACTTGGCTCAAAACCGTTTTCAATGGCTCAGGTGCATTCATTCTTTGTGTTCTCTCAAATCCTAATCTCCAGAATTCCTCATCACTTTATCTTTTCAAGTTTATTTCACTAGATTCTACTTCTTGAATAATATCTTCGAACCCTAAAATTTCCGATTACTGTTAGTACCTTTACTACCCTTACTGCTATGGGATTTGAATTGACAATTGCATCTTTGTGCTTATGTAGTATGGCAACTTGAACTGATGTACGTACGTACGAAGTTCTGCGTTGCTGTTGATTGATTGAGCTTATTTGTATAGGAAAGCTGGGCACTTTCCAAAATATATAAAGTCCTCGCATGGATTCACTAACTGAATATAGTTTCCAAATTTGTCAATAATTCGAGGACATATCCCTGTCAAATATGGCATCGTAAATATTAACTGGATTTACTCACATGAGTCGTATTTAAATTTGTGTCTAGTACAAGTTAAGTGTGTCAAGTTGCATTAATTTGCATCCTAGCGGTATGTAGTTGTGTGCATCAAAAAACTACTTTATTCATCTTTGGGTTCGTATCTGAAGAAATCTCGATGGAGATTCAGAGTAGTCACCTAACTTCTGCTGACTTTGGTCGCATGCGGCATCGATAGAATGTACGTCTGTATACCAAGTAAATTAGGCGGCAATCCTCCATGTTTCGCCTTATGGCAGTGTGTTTATTGTCGTCTTCGCTTATGTTGAAACCGACTAGTGAGCACTGTTATTAGACTCAGGATACTTGGCAACGATAGCAAATCAGTCAACAGAATTGTGGATCTTCATGTATCGAGATGGGTGAATCACGTATTGCGTGTGTTTAGACGCCGTCCCCCTCGACTGAGTGTAAACTAGTGTAAAAACCTACGCAGGTTAACTGTATTTCTCTGGTTCGCCTTTCGATCATTGGAGTCGATGGACACGACTACTGCTGGATGTCAATAAGTGTATCCGCCGGAATGTTATTGTTTGATCTATTCACCCGCATCCAGGTCTGAAACTAGCCTAGTTTGCTCTTGATCAGCTATAGTGAGGCGTCGAAACTTTGTTGAAGTTAACATTTTAGACACCACACTGGTTAAGCTCATTCCTCTGTGATTGTCACTAGGCGACTTTTGTCCTATCTCATGGACTGGGACGATCAGCAACCGGAATTATTTAGATGCAATTACGTCCAGTTACCGAAATTCAGCCGCGAACTTATTAAATCTTACTGCCAGAACTGGGCCACCATCCGTTGAAACCTCAAAAAAATATTTCATCAGGCCCAGGTGGTTTGAATTAGTTTACTGGTAGATATCACTGCTTTTGCCACAGCTTTCTGGACATTATTCCGAGTTGCTCAGGGGTGGATATCACTTACATGGTTGATTAACTGTTTTTCTCGTCCCTAAAATATATTGGTTTATTTTATAATTACGTTTCGCTCCGTAACTTAAAAGTCTCTGCCACCGGAGACGGAAATCGGTGGGGTCCGGTGGTGACGTCTTTACGATCGACGATTTTTAACCCTTTCCTTCGTTTAGTAAGGTAAGCGTCGCTGTAGATGTTGATTGTCCGAGGGGAACACCTTACAGCCGTCACCCCTCTATAGTCAGCAGAATGTTAACATGCTGTTTTTAGTTTTCCTGTTCTTCAACTGACGTTTCTGGAATAGTAGGACTTAAAGGTGTGTGTTGCGGTGAATATATAGCTCGGTTAAGCAAGCATGGCCACCACGTTAAGATAACAGCTACGATCGGGAAATCGAAAAGGATTATTTGTCGCTTTTTGACTAGCAGACATAAAGCCTCAGCGTAATTAATTCGTGTTTGCGACGTTGTTGAAAAAACCAGTCCAACAGAATGTCTTCAGTGTGCCACCCTACACTGTTTAGCTCTCAACTTTTTTAGTGCAAACCCAGAAGACCAGGAATCACATTTTCGTGAACACTAATCGTCAGCACTGACATTTCGTGGTAATAAAGGTATGCAAGGAAGGTTAGTTGTGGGGACAAAAATCTACTAAGAGGTGAGGGAGGAATTCGGTCGTTAACAAGGTGGACGCTAGTGCTGTTCAAGATATCAGGGCAGTTGTCTATCCTTAGTTGTACACACCGGGGAAAGATACTATTTCTTGAAATACCTGAAAGGATAACTGAATCAATCACAGATTTCGTGATCTGAGAGCTTGACGATAGAGTTCAGAGGACAACTACTTTAAGGCCGGTCAAACACAATCCTTTGTAAGGGGTTTTTAATCCGTACTTTAAAAGGCCTTACCATCATGAGAGGATATTCATGAGGTGCGATATTTCTTGAATTGGTTTTTCAAGTCGTTCCTTCGTTTTGAGTATGTAGCACTACTGTGCTGGTTATTTGAGAATAGCACCCCACTCTCAGCACAACCCAGTACAGCCAGTAGAACGTCCTTGAACCGTAAGTTGCTGCTTTCAGTCTTACCAATGCCCAGCGCACTTTCAACGGTAGGACCTAAGGGAACTAAGTATTCCGGTTAATATACCCTGACTACCATGTCAAGGTATCGGCTATGGTCGAGGAGTAAGTTTAGTATTATGAATAGTGTAAGAAAAGGACGTCACATACAGATAAAATTGAGGCGGAGTTAAGTTGATATGAGGTAAATTCCCCCATATAATTATAATCTTTGTAATTTTCTAGAGGTTCGGTAATTATTTTTTTATCATGTCCATCATACTATCTGGCCAAACCGAAACTGATACCTTATAGAGGGAGTGAAGTGGTCGAACGTGTAAACCGCTTCATTTATCTGGGGAGTCTCACCAGTGCTGATGGCCTGGTGACTGACGAAACCTCAGCACGGATACAGAAAGCTCGATTGGCTCTTTCCAAGTTGCGTCACCTGTGGCGCAGGCGAGATATCCGTTTGCTAACCGAAGTACGAATCTACTGTGCGGCAGTTGGCTCCGTCTTACTATGTGGATGCGAAACATGGCCGGTGAGAGTAGAGGAAATTAGTAGCTTGCTTGTCTTCGATCATATGTATCTCCGAAGCATTTCTCGTCTATCCTGGGACAACCGAGTAAACAATGCTGTCGTTAGTAAACGAGTACTAGGTAGGGATAGCAAATCAATAGATGAAGTAACGAACTTTCACCAGTTGAGGAGGTTGGGTCACGTCTTGCATATTCCCAACCACCGACTGCATCGACGAGCTGTTTTATGGTGTAGGAGTAGGTTGGAAGAAAGCTAGCGGTGGTCAGACGAAAACATGGCAGAAATCCATGAAGTCACTGACAAGTGGACTGAGTCATGTTAGCAGATTTAGGCTATCTGGTTGGGGTACGCGAGAAGAAAGTCACCGATGGTTAGAGATCTTGAACGACATGGCTCAAAATCGTTTGCAGTGGTGCAGGTGCATCCAATTTTCGTGTTCTCTCGAATTCTAACATTCTGAATTCCTCATCATCTCTATCTTTCTCTTTCTAACTTTATCTCACTGAATTGTACCCTAGTCTTCTCCATTACTGCTAATACTTTTACTATCGCTACTACTGTGGGATTTGCACTGACAGTTGTGTCTCTGTGCTAATGCAGTATGGCAACCTGAACTGATGTACATAGGTACGAAGTTCTGTGTTTTATTTGTCAGTCTACCTTTTAGACGATCATTCCTCGAGCTTTCAATGTAAATATTTGTTTTACGAACCACCAACATCTGTAGATGCATTAGTATGGTTGTTAGTAACAAAAATTGGGTTACTACTCCGTCCACTCAAAATTTTAAAGCCCCCGGACATCACTTTGTTTTGCTGACATAACCTTGTCTCTTTAATCTGCTTTTCCCCCTATTTTACAACTGCAAACCTTCCTGTTCTAAATTTTTTTGAGACATAATGTTGGTCTAACGATGATTTCAGTGTGTAAAAAAACACTAACCTCTATAACTCTAATTAAAAATAATGCACTCATGCGACGGATTTCGACCTATCGCAATGATAAATTCTGGAAATTTTGAACAAAAGCACTGCATTTATTGGCTTACTTTTTTCTTATTCACTCTTTAAGAAAAAGACGAATCTGTCTTGATCTCCGGATCCAGTATCTGATGGATGATAAAAATGGTTGTAGGACCTAGTGGTAGTTAACGTCTACAATTGAACATGGACGGAAAATACTGGCTATTAAAAGTCATCTATAAAATAGTTGCAATGTAGGTGTATCTAATTTAGTTTGAAATGGTTGTACAAGCGATTGGCTAATTGCACTAATTAGCTAAGTAGATAATGTGATGACATTTGAGGCGAATAGTGCTGGGCTTAAGTCCTGGGGTGAGCAACTCTGGAGTACAGACATATCCATTTGATGAGTCCGAAATGGAATAGCACTCACGTCTTAGAATCTACTCCTAGCCACGTTTCATCTATTTTATATCGGTTTAGAAATTTATTAGTATATTGCATAATCGACACGGCAAATTCCTTGTGATAAAGCTTGTAGTGATTAATAAGGAAATTATTATCGTTAATATTATTATTTTCATTGTTATTATTGTTATTATTATCATTATTATTATTATTCTTATTTTTATTGGTTTTCTAAGGCCACCAGGTGGACTTCAGGTAAAGCATATATTACGGATTTTTCTCTAAACTCCATTTACATTTTGTTTATTAACTTGACCTCTTGATTACCTAAGTCTTAATCTTCCTAAAATTCCAACCTTAATGATTTGTACCTATTTATAAATGGCGTACTGAGAATGTTTCGTAGTACAGCTATAAAATCAATTTGAATCTTTGCTAATTACTCATCTGATTATCTGAGGTTGTTGGTTGATCTTAAATCATCCATGTAGAAATCTTTTTCACATGATGTTTTTCTATTCCAAGGTATTTCGGTGACAATCAACGAGATCATTTTTCAACTGGGAATACAAAGTTTTCTTATCGGAGATCAAACTGCCTTCATAGTAGTCCAGTAGATCATTCTTTGAAGTATGAACAACCTTCCAATAGGAGCAAGTGTGCATCGTCAGTTTCTCCACACGAAAGGGCTCACCAATCGTCAGATCGTAGGAGAACTTTTATCACCAGTTCTCCTGATGACTCCAAGATATCTGGTAACTGGATTAGCTCACACAATAGTCGAAACTCACACCATGGGAAACTTGACACAAAAAATGTACAGAGTGAGGATAGATCAAGTGTTTTGTCTCACAGAAGACATCAGCATAACGAAATTCCTCTCAAATTGAAGTCATCTCGTTACTTATCTCATACCGAAGGAAAATCTCATTTTAATTCGCGCTCACACGTTGCTCAGTCAAGCTCACGTAGCAGGGTTCAGCTACTTGAGGAAACAGATGATATCAGCAGCGGTTCATTTTCCTCAGACTTTACAAATGATGATAGTATTTTCGAAACTTCTCTAAAACATAGCAATACCAGTTCAGAGTGCTCAGTACCAGCATCAAAATTATCGTCACATGTGATGCGTGACCATATTTTGAATAGCGACAAACGAAAGAACGTAGATACTGATTTTTCTCAGAAGTGTTCCCGATCAAGTCATCATGAGACAGAATCCCCTGATGGGTCTTCCTATTCATCACATAAGAAGCATCATCAGAAGATAAGAGAAAGCGTGAGTCCTCCATCTCGAGTTGCCTTAACGCGATCGTCCGTTGTTAGGTCTCGGTTATCTTCATCTCAACGTCGCGCTCCTTTGGCTAATGATAGAAATTCGAATCGCAGGCAGAGTCAGGAATGTGTGGAAGAAAATATTGACCAAAAGCATAAAGCTAATTTTCACTCACAAACTCGAACGTTACTGAAACTACCAGATTCTGATTCTTTGAATCCAACTTACTCAACTAAGTGTAAGCGAACTATGCTTCCTAAAGTTGCATCAACATATAAGGATGTTGAATATTCTGTACGAGCGAACACATCTACTGTAAGTCCTGTATCACCTGATGATGCACCGTATAATATATCAGAGGGGGCTTGTGAACGTATTACCAACAGTGCCTGTTCGGATATTCCCATTGCATTAAAGTCTCATGATGCTCTTACGAAACTGGAAATGGAACGAGCGAAATTACTAAGAGAGCTTTCTCTATTGAATAATGAGGTCATCGGTGGAAGCAGAGGAAAAACAAGCAACGTTACACCAGATCTAGATAATCCCAACAGAAAGCGCGCGCCGTCCTCATTGTTTATTAATGACCTTCCATCACCAAAATTAAAGTGAGTTTTCAAATTATGATAGATTGATAATTTGTAACCTGGTGTGTTTATCTTAAGTGTTTCGAAGTAATATATCGAAAACCAAGATATCCAAGACATAAACTCATTGCTTACATATATATGTATATATCTGTCATGTTTCAAAATTTAAAACGAATGAACATGATGAATCTGGCCAATGATTAGCCTATCGTTGCTGCAAACATAAGATTTCATTTTCCTTGATTCAAATTACTATCGGTCCTATCAAAAAATGTGGTTCATAAATATCTTTGTGACTTTTGTTAGGATAATGATAACGTAACTAGTTTAAAAAGAGTGATGTATTTGTGCTACACATTTCGAACAGTCTAGTCACACATACTTGTCAAGGTATTCTATATGAAATTAATCAAAGGTCAATTAAATAAAAGTTCAAATAGACATAGGGTGATAATTGTAAATGGAGAGAAAATTTACGTAATATAGATAAAGAAAGGCTAGGAAATTGTCACGTTATCCTATGCCATAAAATGGCTTAAAGATTACCAGGGTAAGTGGTTTCATTCGTATTTGATAGTTTCGCATATCTTTATCATGGATTGATACCGGTTAAATAACTGTTGAAAACAATAGTTACAGCATCAGCTATTTGGGTTCAGTATTCTTCAAATGCCTACATCTTCGATTCCATGTAGATGTAAACCTAGAAACCTCATTTCTTTATTTGGTCAATTAGTCCTGTTTCCACTCCTTCGTATTGTTATGATATGCTTACTTAAAAGGAGCAGCTAAAAGCATTACTTCAAAATTGGTACTACTCTGAAAATTTTTGTTAAATATAATCTGGAATATCTGTTCCCTTGAACAGATCTATTCTAGTAGTGGGACCAAAGTTGACTGAAGTCGTCTCTTTATTAACCATGTTTATTGCAGATTTTTTACACTATCAAAAATCTATTGGGGACTATTTTCCATTTTTCTAACACTGCGGTTTTTTACTCTGTTACAAGCATAATTGATGTCACTGGCTCCACATATTTTCCCTGGTCATATGATTTGCTCTCACATGTCTTATCGCATAGTGTCCTCGTTATTGTTTAGGAAACTTACTCGGTCGAGGTTTTCACAGGATACAACTTCTAATACTAAATACTTGCTATTATTATTACTTCAGATTGTTTTAAACTTTCATCGTTTCTCATGTAACAGTAAAACTCACTGTAAATCTTTTATATTTTAGGTGCGTTGAAAATAACAGTAAATGCGAACTAGCCTCTATGCGTAGTCATACATTGACTAGTGATAATTTAATGAGTCCCGGATTTCGTAAATCTATTTCCAGCTCTCATTCTATTGGATTAACGACAACTTCACATGACTCAAAATGTGACATTTCTAGTTCGAAACAGGGTGTTGTTGATAAGCAGGTTTACGCTTTGGCAGTTGATGACTATATAAATACTAGTGATATTGTGTCATCCAATCGAAGAAATCACTTATCTAAATCTCTACAAGGTCATGATTTTCGAAATGTCCATGGTGATTCTAGGTCGGAAACTGTGTTCCCTACTGTCACCACTCATGATGTAAATATGTCAGGTAGTCGGCAGTCTGCTCTTGTAACATCATCTCCACGAATAGTCATTGCACCTGAGCCCACATCGCCGATGATACATATTTCGCCTCCTAGTTCACCAATGTTAATGGATAAGTCGTCGTATGCTTCAACACGGAGCACATCTCTTTCGTCTTCTGTTTTGACTGCATCAACTTCTGGATCTACATTATCTTCTCTTGCAAACTCTTGCAGTCGAGACCCACGTTTGGCTTTCCATCATACTCAGCTTTCTAGCGATGTTCCTCCACCTCCTCCAGAAACGTTCAAATTACCTTTATGGGTTGACACCTCACCTCACACAGAAATTATGATTTCCAATTCACTGACGAGTTCTGTCACGAGAACGCAATCTCCTCACTTTACAAAATCTTTTTGTGATGCTGAACCTGATGTTTCTGTTCAAGACTCAAATGGTTGTTCACTGGATGAGCGTATTCGACTATTGGATGTGCAACTTATGAAGTCAGAAAAGGCTAGACCTACCGTGGATTATAGTAAATTTCGCATCAGACGTAAAGCAGAAGCCAATTTAACTCCCCAATCCATCCAAGTTAGTAATGCGACGCAGTGTAATACGGGTTTGTCTGTTATTTCTAGTTCACCACACTCACCTGTTTTGACCACTTCGACATATTCGATTACCACTCGCTGTGAACTTGAGGTTACAGACACGGTCAATTCTAGCCTACCCATTTGTTGTACATCTAAAACTGGATCGACTTCTCCCGTTCTCTCTAATTCAACGCCTTTAAATTTGGTTAAACCAGCTGATACTTCTGAGTTCGTTAAAAGTATGCTATCCTTCTCTAAGCCATCTCCTTCAACACCTTGCGATGCATCCAGCAATGTATTCTCAATTGAAATACCTACTACTAATCGACATACAGCCTCAGTCCCATCATGTCAAAACTCATTTCTCACGCGTTTGCCTCGCCCATGTGTTAGTAACAGTTTATCATTAGCGAATTCCATCCAATCATCTGTTCCTTTTTGCGGCAAACAAAAAAGTCCAAATAGCATTCGTATTCATTCCAATGTTTTTAATGTGGAGCACAGTTCATTGTCGGGAGCTCAACCTGTTGGTGTGGCCACTAGGATGCCGTCAGTAAAGTCCTTTTGTGGGTCGGACGTTTCAAAATCTGAAGATAATTTGGTGGGATATGGGGATCTAAAATCCGTCACAGCTAAGGAAAGTGTTGATTATATTGAGAAGCTTGAACCTGTGATTTTATCTCATTCTTTGACTAGCACCACAACGGAGACTAACACCAACCTTTCGTCTTATGTTACTGATAATCAAAAGTGTATTAGTGTTGCCAATAAAGGTGATGTACATAATATTTCCCCTTCATTAGGGTCATCTAATGATTTTCCTACTAAAACCAGTCTAAAAACATCGACTTGTCACACTATTCTGTGTCCGAAATCTTCACCTCGAGATGATTTAGTGGGTAGCAATAAATGTAAACCTAACTCTTTCAATGTACCACCTACAAATGCAAAGAAAACACAAAAGCATGATCCTTCGAGGCCTGTATTGAATGATTTTGTCTTTCAGAATTCGTTGGGAGGTAGTGTATCTAAAACCAATCGACTCAAAAAACCACACACCGATACATCTAGTTCATTATTATCTACTAAACGAAAACTATCTATTACCTCTGAATCCAAAGAAATAATATCAACTTCTAATGCAGACAAGACAATGTTTGGGAATATATCGTTAACCAAAAGTAAAACTTCTCAGAAGATGTCTTGCAAAATTACTTCTAAGAAGCTAGAGTCGGCATCTGAAAGCAGTTTTAAGAAGGATTCTCTTCCAAATAACAAACCACAATTAACTGCTGATGGTAATCAGTCTGCATTCAGCGCTAACAACCGTTCTATGTTTTCTGAAAAGAAACCTGTCTCGCCACATTCTAAGAAGAGAAAAAACGTCCGGGACATAAAGAAAAAAGTTATTGATAGTGAAGATTCTGATTGGGAGCCGAATACAGTTATCACTTCCCAACATCAGTCGGCTGAATTACTTGACCCTGACTCCTCATCAGAGTCTCGTTATGAATCAATGTATGATAAGATTAAGCGCAGAGCTAACCAAAGTACGACAAAGTCTACCGATTCTCTTGGGAAGCCTGATGTTTTACAGCGTTTGTTGAAAAACAAAAGTAGGGAACCTAAAAAGCCGAATTCGAACAAGTCTCTAGTTGATTCTGATACAGATGAATGTTTAAGTGATGGTTCATCAATTCATTCTGATGACAACTCTAATCCACTTACTAAGCACACAACGAAGACAAATTCTTCAAATGAAATATCGAAAACTATGAAACAGAAAATCCCAACTGCTATTGGGGCTAAACTACAAGCCTCATCTGTGTCACCTAAACGAAAAAAAATTGTCACTGACTCTGTAGTATCTTTATTCAAGGAATCTTCACATAAAACTAGAGGTCGAAAAGCAAAGAAACCAGCCGTTCCCAATAAAGCACAATCATTAACTGCTCAGGTACGACGTAATCATAAAAGTAATGAACAGCAGGGATCTTCAGCTACTTCAAATTACCGATCAAGTACTCGTCGTAAGAAACCTAGCATACAAGGAGAAAATGTTCCTACTCATGAAAACGAAGGTAAAGCTGTTTCCGGGCGCATGAGTTTGACAGGTCGATCGAAAACTCAGAAGCAGAAAGCTATCTCAGTTGTAAACAAGCAGCTTCTTTCTATAAAGAATACTCATCGTAGTCTGGTTCACCGTGTGTTCGCTTCGACAGATTCCTCTTCACTTTCTTCTTCTGTGACATCTGGATCTGATGACGAATTACCTAGTAACCAGGTTTCCAATTCATCCGTAAAGGAGAAAGAAAATGCGACAGAAATTATCTTAGAAAACAATTGTCAACCTATCACGCCTAAGTCCCCTACGACTCAACTTAGTCGTTCTTGTAGTCCCGAAGATTTACGGGCAGATGCAGCAATACGCCATACTTTCGGAGCTTTTACTGCACCATTTATTTGTTTTAAAACTGATTCATCTCATAGTTCAACCATCAGGCACGACGTTCCTCAGAGTACAGGTGTAAATGTAAAGTTATCACCAAATTCTGAAGATTCAAAGCCAACACCACCAACACTACCAATGACTGACTCAAGTTTCAGTGGTGATCAGCAGTCTAATGGCACCTCTGTTATTAGATTACAAACTCGCGATCATAGTGATTGGAACATATTTTCTTCGTTGGCGAAACAGTCAACTCCAATAAAAGATGATAACATGCACCAACATTTATCTTCAACATCTGGGCTTGCCGCTGAAAGTGATGACGTTCCAATAAATTCTACTGCTGAAACTTCGTATGATACAGAAGATGAGTTGCCGTCTTTAGAAAAGCACGATGATGATGAAGTAAGCATTCCTTATGAATCATCTATTTTACTTCACGAAAGTGATAGTCTTAATAACCCTGCCGAAAGCTTAAATGGATATAATGATGATTTACCCCCTCCAGTCGTTTCAGGTATTGATGAACCCAGCTATTCAGATATACCTACAGCTGTCGAAACTGCTCCAGATATTATAGAAGAAGTTATTTATGATGGTTTGGAAGTGGCTATTCAGGATGAAACTCATCAATCAACAAATGCATCTTTAAAGAATGACTCGTGTAAGAATTCTCCTCAGTTGGTTGATGTTGATGTGACAGAATCAGCCATAAAAAAAGATTCAGATCAACCTTTAATGGATAAGAATGACACTTTTCATATCGATTCAAGTAGTGTGACTAATAGTTTTACCACAAACACACTGTCATCAGTTGCTCTTCCTATTATTACTTCGTCGTTAAACAGCATGTCTGTTCATTCGACCGTATTTACACCAGTGTCTGTATTACATGTTACCACAAAACCCCCCGAAGTACAAACTATAAATCAACCCATGTTAGTATCTATCTCTACTATGTCCTCTACTAGTTCATCTGATGGTGCACTACGTGCTGAAGAAGCTTGCTCATTTGTATCATCTAACCTCAACTCGAAACCTCAACATCACATTGCTGTCATACTACCAACAACCGCTGTATCGTCTACAGAAAGTTCGTTCGTAACTGTGTCTTCTCTCATGCCAGACTCTTCTGTCGATTTAACCCCCAGTTCATCTGTCATTAAGCTGGCAAATTCTCCTATATCAGTAACTTGTCCATCCATAAGTGCATTAAGTGGTGTTAGTTTGGCTGATCAACAGTCGCAAAATGTTACTTCTCATCCACTTACTACTGGGATTACTACGTCTGCTGCTATTGCTACTTCATTAGATCGTAGTGTTCCGACTTCTCATACTTGTTTATCGTCAGTTTCTCAAACTGGCAATACAACCTTTGATCCGTCGGACTTCACGTCATATGTTCAGCGTGTAATTGAACGTGTAAAACAAGAAAAAGATGAAGAAATATTACAGCAAAGAGAGAAGGCGAGACGTCCTAAAAGAAATATTTCTGCTTCAATGTCATCTTCTGTGATATGTACAACTGCAAATCACACCAATACTTCTACTATCACTTGTTCTGGAGTTTCGTCAACAACAACTATAAATCTACCTAATGTAGCCCCTATTATTTCAGCTGCTGATGTGCCTAAACCATCAGGTTTGGTTAATATTGATGATAAAAATGTAACAATTCCTATGTGCGTTGCGAATAATTCGGTCGTTATTCAAGACTCAGTTTCTTGCACTCTTAGGAACGTAATCAGTCCAAATCCTCAACCCACCAACATTTCAGTTTCACCCATTACGTCTTCGCACTCTCAGCAACTCGTAAGTGCTTCCGCGGAACAAAATCTTTGCTTACTTGGATCTAATAACTTAACCGATGACACTCATTCGCGAGATCCAGTTGATGAAATAATCGAAGCTGTTGTTAATGGAGAATTCGATGAGAAAGAATATGTACTAAAATTATCGAGGGGTAACTTTATTCCTAATGACCATTGTCGTACCTTATCCGGCAGCATTGGTTCTCCTCCCAGCCATCCTGATATTTTCACATCGATACCTGAGGATTCTGCAATGAAGAACGATTATCATCAATCTGGTCTTTCAGAGGCTGTTTGTATGGGGTCTTCTAGCTCTGTAAGTTATTTTTAAATTGTTAATTGAGATATTTTCACATTAAATCTAACAAGACGAGTTTTTTAATCATAAGAAGTCCCTTATTAATGTTTACTTGGTAAGCTATCGTATGGTTGCAGTTTACATATGAATTTTTTAACGAATGCAGGTTTTAGTTTATCGAATTAAATCACTGGTATAAACTTTGATACATGTATGATAGAATTACCAAGGCTATAGTAAATTCTAATAGAAAAGGGGCTGTAACTCATCTAACCTTAATTATATTATGAGTGCATTTCAATGTGATCACTACTTTCCTAACATACAATACTTCCATGTTACGCCCAGTAGTTTAGTGACCTAACGTATCTGTAAATTTAACCGGTTTAGACTGAAAACGTATGTTGCTCTCAGTACTGAAAAAGTTTTGTCAATCTTAATCTCGAACTAAGTTTTGTTAAAGTTCCTATACTGAACTCTAGTAATCTTGTTTTTTACACTTAAGTTTTCTCTCTCCCATACAATTGTTTGTTCAACTGTAAAAATGTAGCCAGCAGAAATGTAGTTTACTGATTGATGCACATCTCTGTATGTGAATGGGTTCCGACATCTAGAACTGGTGTACACAAGTCGAGTTCCATGTGACATATGACTGACTGACTGTTTTCGGCTTTTAATCACTGGTTTATAGGTTCGGATCTGTTCCTCCTACTTTGACTCGAGAGCTAAATAGTACAGTAAGGCTGTTCGCTGATGTAAGAGAAGTTCCATGACATTTAATGTTTACTTGACTCATCCTCTCGATTTCGAATCCTAATGTTCGTATATACCCATCTACTCTGCCCTATCGATTCTCTTTCGCCGTGCTTAGTTTTTTTATTATCATTTATATTATTTCAGTTTCTATTGTTATATATTTTGTTGATTTCATTTCGTATTATTATGATATGGTACATCCATTCAATGCAACTATTTTCCAAACCCTACGTTGATGATGACCAATCAGGCCTCAAACTGATAAATGGGGCTTATAATCTGTTACACAAACGTGTCCTTCATTTGTATGGGTTTTGAATCTTATTGATGTTTAAGACTGCAATTAATCAGTATATTTTATGCAGATTAGCTCGATATTACCATGAAGTCATAAACATTTTACTCAGGGATGGATGGTTGCTATCACTGTAACGTGTTGACACATGTTTAATCTCACTCAAGACCCGCCAACCGGATATATCTTCATCCTAGCCAGTGGCTTTTTGGACTCAGTAGCTAAGTGGATAACAAGGGTGTTCGAAACGATCGGTACTGGGTTCGAGTCCACGGTGAACATCTCTGGAATACGAGTGCATCCAACTAACGAGTCTTAAATAGGACGAAGCTCACGACGTAGATCTCTCCATTGAACACCCTGCGACTCTGGTCATAAAATATGTACTTGATTAACAAATGAATACAACAAGATATCTTTAATCTCCTTCCGCTATTAGTTGTTTGAAGCAAACACCTTTCTGCTGCCAGACTTCAGTACAATTGATGGTTCGACATTGATTTGGACGTTAGGTTAGCGCCGTTTAATTTTACTTGCCTATCATAGTACAATATAAATGGAGTATTCTAGCGGATAAAACTCAGTGGAGTCATTACGATAGGTAAACTGACTACCACGTCAAGGTAGTAGCTGTGATTAAAGTTTCCGATACATTCAGTTTTAAATATGATACAAGGTTAACGATCTAGGAGATATCAGGATGCAATCCTTTTCCTCACAACAACTTTACAACCTTTTAGTTGTTAAGCGTCAAATGTTTATTAAAGTTGTTAGTAAAAAGTGAGTAATTAATTACTAGTGGTTATTTGAATAAGTCCTTGAAGAATTTTATCTGTTGCTCGAGCTATCGAAATCTAGGACAGTTACTGATTGTTGGAAGGTTGCGAGGGTTGTAATACTAGTATTCTTGAAGAAATATTTTAGTGTTTTTAAATCCTAACAAACTCAACAATATGACACTGCAATTGATTTTGAAGTCTATTGTGTATCGTTTTATTGACATGTGGGTGCATTTTTGAACAAGATTTCCAACTAACATAGCTGAAATCGGTTGTGGCGTCTAATAAGACTAAATTCATCGCCAAGTTTGTATCCATGATTTCCATTACACTATTGACTTAATAAAGTTTGTTTGTTGTCGTCTTGATGATAGTGACCATAATTTTCAAATTAACAATCTACTCATTGAGTCGTGGATACTAGTGTTTTGGTCTCAATCACTAATTGTCCCAGTCTATAAAAAAGGACAAAAGTCTCCTGGTGACAGAAGAATCAGTTTGACTAATATAGTGTCTAAAACATTACCTTCAGTTATACTTCGATGCCTAACGAAAGCTCGTGAAGAGCAGACTAGAGAAAACCAAACTGGTTTCCGACCTCCTTGTGAATGTATGGACCAGATATTCACACTACGTCAGTTCCTAGAACACATTTGGCGTCCGACAACAGTTGTCTTCCTGGACCTTAAATAGGCATTTGACTTTGTTGACCGTGAGGTTCTGTGGCAGTGTTTGTCATTGAAAAGAGTACCAAAGAAGTACGTTAACCTTATACAAGCTCTCTACATGCTTTTGGAGTTAATATTATCCTCGTCAAATTTTTAGGGGTAGACCTTCTACCAGGAGAATCACTTACTGACCTAGAATATGCCGATGACATAGTTCTATTCGGTGAAGACTCTGACAAAATGCAGTCTTATGACTACCTTAAGCAACTACGCCACCATGTTCGGGATGCTGTTTTCCCCCTCGAAATGCAAAATGTTGTTTCAGGATTAGGTTTCATCGACACGTGAACTAGTGATAGGGAGTGAAGTAGTCGAGCGTGTAGACCACTTCACTTATCTGGGGAGTCTGATCAGCGCTGATGGCCTGGTGGCTGTCGAAATCTCAGCACGGATACAGAAAGTTCGATTGGCTTCTGCCAACTTGCGTCACTTACGGTGTGGGCGAGATATCCGTCTGCTAACCGAAGGACGAGTGTATTGCGCAGTAGTTCTCTCTGTCCTATTTAATGGCTGCGAAATATGGCCATTGAGAGTAAAAGATATTTGTAGGTTACTGGTTTTCGATCATAGGAGTCTTAGAAGCATTGTGATAAGTTCGGCACTTAGTATGCTGGAGGCTATTACGAGTTTACCTTAGTCGATAAACGCGAACGAGACTTGTACCAGCTTCCAGGAAGGCTACCCTGAATCCCAGAATCGAAATAGAAGACTTTGTAGGCGTAGAAGTATATTCTACAAGCACCCAGCAATCCCAGTACAATCAAGCATACAACTCTCGTTTATTTATACAACATAACAACGTCCTTGAGACAGTTAAGAAAATAGCATACTAAAATACACTGTAGCCAATCACAGCCATTGATTTTCCTGGTGGGAGTTGAAATCTCAAGGTCATTTGATCAGCCCCTGCTGGCGAACGTGAAAACCGAAATACGGCATTATCAAGCGAATTTTGGGGATCTAACATCCCCAACACTCCTCCCCTTTTTAATAGCTTGTTCTCCTGGGGTCGACTTGCATCTTGACTATTGTTCGCCGCTGTCTGAGGGGATACCTTCGGGAACGAAGAACAGCTTGCTGCTGAGTTTCTTCTCGTGGCGGGGCTCTCGGTAGGTTGAAGGTATCAAGCAAGATGTCAAGGGGAAGGCTTTCTGCTCTTGATGGGCGATCTGGGGCTAGCCGTCTGCGTATCTGATTGCGATGACGTGACCATTTATCACCTCCTACCTCTACTTCGTACATAACTCGACCAACCCTTCTGACCACTCTCGCTTCTACCCAAGGACCATGGTTCGTTCTGTAGTCGTGGGCAAACACAGGGCATCCCACCTCGTAAGCGGATTGTCTTTGCTGCTTTGTCTCTACTGATGAGGGTGCATTGGTCGGATGCATCAGGCTGTGAATCGTTTTCAATCTTCTTCCCATCAAGATTTCAGCTGGGGACTTTTGCTCCGGTAACAATTCATTTGGTGTTGTCCGATAGACGTGCAAGAAATTTTGTAACGTTTCGGCTGGCGTCCCCTCCCCTTTTGACTTGAGCAGTGCTCTTTTAAACGTATCCACAAACCTTTCCGCCTGCCCATTCGATTACGGGTGGTATGGTGGCGAGCGTAAGTGTTTAATAGCTAGCCGTTGACAGAAATTCTGGAATTGGGAAGAGGTGAATTGAGAGCCATTGTCGGATACGATCACATCTGGTATGCCGTTTCGTGAGAAAATTTCAGTTAGGAGCTGTATAGTCTTAGTTGTAGTGGGCGGCATAACGGGGCTGATTTCCGGCCATTTAGAAAAGGCGTCGACGACAATTAAATACATAGTTCCATTTATTGGGCCAGCGAAGTCGACATGTATCCTGGACCAAGGATGCTCAGGTTTGGGCCATGAAACCGGCGGAATTTTGGCATTCATCTTTGCCGCCTGCTGACACCGCATGCATTTTTCAACCAACGCTGTGACATGTTGATCCATGTGAGGCCAGTATGCATAACTCCTGGCTATGGACTTTATTCGTTTAATCCCAGGATGACCAAGATGGAACTGTCTCAGCACTTTTGCACGAAGGGATTCTGGCACCACTACTCTTTCACCAAACATCAGACAATCGTTGACGATGCATAGTGACTCCCGCCGCTGATACAGTTGCTTCATGTCACCTTCAAACTTTTTCGACGGCCACCCGTTAGTGACATATTTCATCGTCATCTTGATGATGGGGTCGTTTCTAGAAGCATTTTGTATGTCTGTTGCAGACACCGGTAATGCACGAACTGCGGTTGTCAGATAACATTCTGCGTGGTCTTCTGGGTCATGTCGTTGTGATACCAGGTTGCATATGGTATTTAGCGGGACATCAGCCAATTTTAGCTGGTCGAACCAATCTAAACCAAGTAAATTTAGATCAGCTGGCGTTATATAGCATACCCCAGTAAACGACGAATCTCGGAAAGCAACTTTACATTCCAATTGTCCTAACAGACGAAGATAATTACCACATGCTGTACGAGGCTTTTGTGTTGTGTGCTGCAGGCTTGGGCTGCCCAATTTGGTCCAATTTTTGCGTGAGAGGATAGTGACATCAGATGCAGTATCTATTTGCATTCTACACAAATAACCGTTAATATTAAGAGTAATAAATTTCCTCTCACCTGGTGATGAGCTTTGGCAGGAAGATATTAGGCTCAATGCATTGGTACTGGATCTAGGAACAGGCTTCTTAGCACTTCTGGATCGCTTTGGCTTTTTCTGTAGGCAAAAGCCATCTTTATGACCGATGACTTTACACTTCCTGCATCTATGCTGCCTAAATGGGCAGTTCCGTACATAGTGCCATGAACCGCAGTGCCAGCAAGCAGAAGGTGGATTCATTTTGGGTTTTTGGGCCGAATTGGAATTTTTCTTTTCACTAATGGAATGCACGTATGATGAGAGGCCCTTGTTTTCGACCATGGAGGTATCATGCTTCAAGTTTACTAATCTCTGGCACTCTGCAGTTATTTCTTGAAGCGAGATGTTTGGGCACTGTTCAATTTTACTTAGGATTCTGGTTCTTATATCAGCATCGTCGGGAGATTGTAAGCTGCACGCAAACACAAGGCACTTAAACTGATCTTCCGTCATTGATGATAATTTAAATCGTTCGCATTCACGATTTACTAAGCCAGCATGCTTTACCCAGTCATCTTCATTTGACTTGGTTATTTTGAGGCATTGATAACGAATATTAAAGAGAGATGACTGTTCAGAGAAGATTTGCGACAGCGTATCAATTGTAGCATCAAAAGAGAAATCTCGTGGGTTCTTTGGGAGGATGAAATTACTATAACGTTCGTGTTCGATTGTGCCGAGCTTTCTCAAAAGGATTCTGACTTTGGTGGCGTCATCAAGATTGTTGAGGTCGACCTTGAACAAATCCTCATACTTCTTAAACCAAGACTCGAAAGTCACACCAGCAAGGCCATCAAAATGAAATTCATGAATGGAATTAACCATCGAGTCTGTATGCGGATTATATGAATCATCGGCAAAACCTCTGTGATTCAAATTCATTTGTTTCATTAACAGCTCCAACATACGTTCCTGGAACTGTTCATATCGTTTACCTTGACGTTCCAGTAAAGATTCTAACTGTTCAAGATTAATTTACATTGTGAATTGTGAGCCCCGTCGCCACTGATACGTTCGTCAACTTAGTATGCTGGAGGCTATTACGAGTTTACCTTAGTCGATAAACGCGAACGAGACTTGTACCAGCTTCCAGGAAGGCTACCCTGAATCCCAGAATCGAAATAGAAGACTTTGTAGGCGTAGAAGTATATTCTACAAGCACCCAGCAATCCCAGTACAATCAAGCATACAACTCTCGTTTATTTATACAACATAACAACGTCCTTGAGACAGTTAAGAAAATAGCATACTAAAATACACTGTAGCCAATCACAGCCATTGATTTTCCTGGTGGGAGTTGAAATCTCAAGGTCATTTGATCAGCCCCTGCTGGCGAACGTGAAAACCGAAATACGGCATTATCAAGCGAATTTTGGGGATCTAACATCCCCAACACATTGCTCGTTTATTATCATTATCCATCATACGGTGACCAAACTTCGGCCTCAATTTAATTGTAAGGACTTACTATACCACCTGGCGGCCTAATGTGTAAATTACACAATAATCTGGCGACTTAATTTGTTATTAGTATTAAATATTGCGTTATAGGTTTAGTTTACAACGTTTTGAATGTTTTGAAAATATTTGGACGTCTTTTCTCAGTTTTGGATAATCGCTCTGTCATATTTATCTTATTTTAATTTTAAGGCCCTATTAATGTACTAACATTTTTGTTTTATTGTTCTTGTTATTTTGATTTTAGGCTGTCAGTATAGGTGTTAACTCTTCGACCGTATTATCTGTTGAAAAGGAGATTTCTGATTCCATCATTTCAATGAATCAGTCTTCAACAGTCTTAACACCTATGCATGTATTGACGTTTGTCGCAACTGGTGCTGCAACATCGACATCGCAGCACATATCCACTTCAGCCACAATGAGTTCCAACGTTTCAACCCAGTCGTCATCCAACTTATCGACTTCTACACCTCATTTATCGTCAAATTCAAACCCATCTGGCCCTAGTTTGGATAAGGTTAGTAGTGTGACTACACTTCCAACTTATACACCAATTCCGAATTCTTCTAATTCACTATCTACCGATTCAACTGATACTCAAATTGGAGAATTTGCAGCTCGACTAGCTAACAATCCGTTTACTACTTATTTCTATTCTCTGTTGACACAAAAGCAGCTTAGTCCATCTCTTAGTCCATCGATCTCTTCTGGTGATTCTGTCTGCCAGCGTCCAACTGACAATGTTTCGTTGCCACTATGTGCATCTACAATTAAAAATCTATCTATCCCGAATGCATCTGTTAGTGGAGATACAGCAGACTATCTGGCTGCAGCAACAATGGCTGCTATGGCCGCTATGGCTGGACCAACTCAAGATATGACCTCGTTTAGTCAAACTATAGCTTCTGCATCATATTCTGATTCTAAATCTAAATCATCTGATAACCAGTTTCTGCAAGTGTGTTCAAGTGTACATTTAGGAGGAATACAAGTGAGGTTTCACAAAAAGTTTTTATATCAAAGTTATTTGATTACTCATTTTGATAACTGTATATCAAAATCTAATGTTAACTTACCTATTGGTTGATCTTATGTCTTGGTCTACTGTCCGACTAAATTATAATTTATGCTTACCATATAAAGATATCCTAAATAGTTTGGAGTTTTGAACAACTTGAGATTAAAACAAAAAGGTAAAAATAGACCGATAGTGCAAGATAATTGAGAAGCAGTTGATCGTTGGAAATTGGGAATTAGAATAAACGGAATTCTATGCTGTTGGGATCAATTCTGATTTGTGTCACTTTAGATCTCTAGACACTGTGATGTCTATAATTTCGATAATCTCACTGCACCCACTAATGCAACTCAGCGAAAGTCAATTCACTCCATAGTTCATAGGCAGTTGAATACTGGCGCCTTAGTCAAACAAAGTCGACACCCCACAAGACTTGTATATCCCGTCGATAGTCGAGTGCGAAACAGGCCAGTAGATCTCGGATTTTGGCTCTAAAAGTTTTGAAGCTCAACACCCTCTTCCTTCCTTCGTATATGAACTTAGTTTGTTTACGAATCTTCAGCAAAATAGGAAATCCCTGAAAAAAAACCAAATATAGACATCCGTCTCCATTGATACTTTCATCATGAGGAAATTAGTAGGTTGTGAGCATTTTTGGACAGTATTACTGGCTCTCGTTACTGCAGATAACAAATCTCTTCAAGCTTTCAAACGAGTGTATGAATTCCATTCCTAAAAATAGGAAAATTAAAATTCTGATTTTAAGAAAATCTATATATTTATTTGGGAAATAGAAATATCAAAAAATAAATATTATCATTATTGACATATTTTTGATTCTCTAGGTGCAACTACTGTGCAACTTATCTGACTGCAAATGTTACTTATATGCCCTTTTATTTGCTGTTCGATGTTATTTTCCCCAGCTTACTACTATATTTGAATCATTTTAATACTCATTTTTAAATGCTTCAAGCTGATTTTTTTTCACCATGTTCATATCTTAAATTGTTCTGATCAGTCAAAATTACCACAACAGAAACAGTGTTAGAAACTTTTGAATATCTTCGATCACCATTTCCGCTTGAATAATTTCCTAGTAAAATACGTTTCGTCATACTGTCACAGTATTGTCAAACTATCCTTTCTATTAGTTTCGTTTTGCAAACATCGTCGTTGCATCATAAAATAGTTCATAAACACTTCATTCCTCCCTCTCAGTTGCTTGCTTATGCGTACTCTGCTTCATTTTAACATTTGATGACACATTATTCACCAATTTAGGTATCGTTTTTTTTTGTTGCATTATCAGTTATACTAATATAATCAAACAATTCTCACTCAAGTTCCATAATGTATATTGCAATTCTCATTGAAATTTTCTATTGAACACAGTTACTGAAACTACATTTAAAAACAGATTTTTTACTCCATTTATGGAAGCTTTTTAACGTTTCCATGCTTATCATATGTTTTCACAACTTCATGTTTAGATAGCATCCATAATTATTTCTTCAGTTTCTGAATTACAGTTTAGTGCTTTGTGTATCCTAAATAAGATAGGATTTTAGAGTTTTTCTGCACTATCATGAAATTTCGATGTTCTTCAGTGTATTTGACAGCAAGCTTCACATTAAATTTACGAATCAGTAGCTATGTATTTGTAAAGATTTGACTACTTTTGTATTTGCATAAGGGAGTATATTAATATATAATGCAGTTTCTAATGTTTCCTCTTCTGTTGTAATCGAACGGTATCGGTTTTAATTTTTCTAGGAATATCCAGTCATTTGGCGAGGACGTCTTTCCTTGAAAAATGAAGAGGTTTTTGTTAATATGCATTATATTAATGGTAATCAAGATTTACTAAAAAGTTGTATGAGTGTTATAACAGAACAACAAGTAGCTCTTAGCAATATTGTTACAAATTCTAGTTCTTTGGGGTCGTGTATGACGGGGAATGCTATTGGACCTCCACACCAACCTTTGAAGATTGTGCAACGAATGCGTTTAGAAGCATCTCAACTTGAAGGGGTTCAGAGAAAACTACGACAACTAAATGATTTTTGCATGTGCCTTACCTTAGCAGCTGCTCCTCCACTAACTCCTGATGCATCGTTGAATAATGAACAAATACGAATGAACAAGATACTGTGTGATGGATTTATCAAATACATGCTTGAAAAATGTGCCGCTGGAATAATAAATGTTTGTCATCCTTGCACTCAACAAGTAAGATAATTTATTGATTAAATTTATTTCATATAACTGCTGGAGGATATTCTCTGGTATCTGTTTCATAAATTTCAACTTGTTTGATGAAATAGGTTATTTGTAGAACATATAATTTCTGTTACTTGTTATCAAAAATAGAAAATTCACCAGGCTTGTTATTAGCTTCTACTTTATTCCAAATCTAATACATTGCTTAAATGCATAGATGTTGATCTCTGTATTTGAAATTTCAAAAGACCATTGTTCAAACCGATGTAGATAACATAAATTTATTATTGCGAACTAAAATATTTTTATTACTTTCAATCATCGGGTGTCAGTTCCGAGCATCCCTTAACGTATTCCGGTTTCGGCTTTTGGATAATATCATTAGTCCTCACATTGTTAATGGAGCTCAAACGTGATTACCCAAATCTGTTCTTGATTAATTTAATTAATCGATCAGCAAATTCATTTTCTTAACTGACTTAAAGTAACTGATTCAGTAGGTATAAGCTACATTGAGTATGAGGGCTGATGAAACTATTTAACTGCCTGAACCGAGATATTGATAATTGACCTATTCGATAACTAATCCTTTATATGATGTATAGTTCATGTTCCTGTTTGAAGGATGGGTCAGTCAGTCAGATGCGAAGTAGAACCTATCACCATCGTTTCAAGTTTCTATACCCCATTAACATTGTGAAATAAAATTGTTAGAGAGAATCCTATATTAGTATTAGAGGCAGCTACAAGATTAATAGTAATAGACAAGATTAACCTTCGAAGATACAATTCGAGAAAGAAATGGTAATTGGTGAAATAATAAAAAATATGAGGAATTCAGAAATTTATGATCTAAGGAAAATCGAGTAGTGGATGCACCTGCACCACTGCAAATGATCCTGAACAAATCCACGAAGTCTCTAACTATTGGTTACGATAATCACGCGGAGCCCAACCAAGTGGTCTATGCCTATTATCACGACTCCGACTATCAGTGACTTCATGGTTTTGTATCGTGTCTTGGTTTAATCGTCTTTAGTTTTCTTCCAGTGAACTCCTACACAAGACATTGCCCGTAGAGTTCCACATTTTCTGTAATTTTTAATCATAAATTATGCATTCTCCCTATGATGATGGTTTTTTATTTCATTGTTTCCATTGACACTCTAGAACCTGTATGTCATCCATATATTTCCTCCCTGTGAATTTTCACGATGTCAGCTACAAGTATGTGCTCCTGCTCTTTATCACAGTTTAGCAGAAAATTCTATACCTCATGTATTAACTGTGATCACAACGGTATAACCAAGATGCATTTAACTCCTAATTTTTTTCCTCAGTGGATTTTGAAATGTCCTTTTATCACCTTGTTCAGTGTAATGAACCAAGTTCAGTTTCGACTAATGAGCTAATCAACGGACGTCTCAGTTAGTGCATGACTATCAAAATCTATATTTCTGTTCTTACGGCAGCCAATAAAGCTTGAAGTGAATCTTTGAAATTATTTTCCCCTGACGTTATTTATGCGATCGAATCCATTATCCTGTTTAGTCTACCTTTTTCTTGGCTTGAGTAGCATTATACAACTATTCTGCCCAAATTTTCGCCGATAAAGGATAGGCTTTGATCGCCTATTCAAAGTTGCGCACTAACTGTGATTCTCCATTTTACTTGACCTTATTTTCAAATTGTCACTGTATATAAAATGTATATTTGTGTGTTCGTGTGTACATGATCCCTTCACTTAACTTGAGGCAGCTTAAACCAATAATTTTTGATATATTATGTATGTACATACCGAAACTTTCCATATATTGATTTGTTTTAAATGAACAACAAACCTATGTATATATGTTCAATAGCGTGACTAGTCAGATTGTTTTTAAATGATATGTTCTTTCGGATAAATTGTTTTACATTGTTGCTTTTTTAATTGTTGAAAATGAAACATTAACTGATTTCTTTGAACATTCTGTTTATATAATTCTTGATAGAAGTGTAATTGATTTATGAAATGGGTAAAGATTAATGATCAATCTCAGTCAGTCAATCGGTCAGCTGCAACGTAGAACTTCGTACGTAAGTACATAAGTTCATGTTGCCATACTACATTAGCACACAGACGCAATTGTCATTTCAAACCCCATAGTGGTAGAGATAGTAAAAGTATTAGAAGTATTGGGGAAGATTATAATTTGAAGATATTATTCAAGAAGTATAATTCAGTGAGATAAGTTTAGAAAGACAAAGGTTGACGAATCCAAAAGATTAGGATTTGAGAGAACAAAAAGAGTGAATGCACTTGCACCATTGCAAACGATTTCGAACCATGTCATTCAAGGTCTCTAACCATCGGTGACTTTCGTCTCGCGGACCCCAGCCAGGTAGCCTACATCTGCTAACATGACTCAGTCCACTTGTCAGTGACTTTATGGATTTTTGTTATGTCTTGGTTTAGCCGCCCGTAAACTTATTCCAACCTACTCCTACAACACAAAACATCATTCGTCGAGGAAATCAGTGGTTGGGAATACGTAAGACGTGACCCAACCACCTCAACTGGTGAAAGTTCACTTCTTTATCTATTGATCTGCCATCCCTACCTTGTATTTGTTTTCTAACGACAGCATCGCTCACTCGATTGTCCCAAAATATACGAGCAATGCTTCGAAGATATCTATGGTCAAATAATAGTAACCTGCGAATATCTATTCTTACCTGCCATGTTTCACAACCATATAGTAGAACGGAGCGAACTACTGAGCAGTAGACTCGTCCTTTGGTCGGCAAACGGATATCTCACCTACACTATAAACAACATAAATTGAAAAAAGACAATAGAGCCTTCTGTATCCGTGCTGAGATTTCGTCAGTCACCAGGCCATCAGCACTGATGAGACCCCCGAGATAAGCGAGGTGGTCAACACGCTCGACTACTTCACTCCCTATTACTAGTTCAGGTACCGTTGCAAGCCAATCTATAAGCAACATCTTGCATTTCGAGGAAGAGAATCGCATCCCTAATATGCTTGATTGTTGATTAGGGTGGTCACAAGACTGCTTTTTGTCAGTATCTTCACCGAATAGAATATGTCATCGGCATATTCTAGGTCATTGAGCGATCCTCCTGGTAGAAGGTCTACCCTTGAAATTTGACGAGGATAATATTAACTCCGAAAGCATGTCTACGACAAAGTTAAACGAGAATGGAGAAAGTGGACATCCCTGACGGACACCACTTGAAGTAAAGAATTCGGGTGACAGTTCACCACAAGCTCTCACTCGACCAGTAGTGTTCGAATAGAGAGCTTGTATAAGGTTAATGTACTTACTTGGTACACCTTTCAATGACAGACACTGCCACAGAACCTCATGATCAACAGAGTCAAATGCCTATTTAAGGTCCAAGAAGACAACTATTGTCGGGAGCCTAAATGTGTTTCTGTGTTCCAGGACCTGTCGTAGTGTGAAAATGTGGTCTATAAAACCACGTCCATGTCCGAAACCAGCCTGATTTTCTCTAGTCTGCTCTTCACAAGCTTTTAGTTAGGCGTCTAATTATAATCGGGGCTAACAATTTAGAGACCATATTAGTTAGACTTATTCCCCTGTGATTGTCAGAAGATATTTGTCCTTTCTTATAAATTAGCATAATCAGGGTGTAGGATTTAAATTTGCCCTACAGATGTAATTCCAAAAACGTAAACGCAAATACCGCCGATGACAGAATCCAGAGTGAAACTCTAGTTAACAGATGACAATTTGGTTTTAAACTTTATGTTTCTAAACAAAAAGAAAACGATTAATTTAGTACAATAAATAAGGAAATTACAATTATCAAGCAGGATGAGCGAACGTACCGGACAGTATAGCGTTTCTTTAGAAAATGAATAAAAAGCATAAGTCACATCTATATAAAATAAAATAATAACATCCTTCCATCGATAGGCCGTTCACAACAAAGAAAGTTCATAGACCGGTCAGACTAGATGACGTGGTGAGCGCTTAACCAATCTGATTGGTTAGTTATGACATAACTACAATTAGTTATAAAATAACTAACACAGGGATCGAGAATAGTCGGACGGGATTACGTTCAGTTCCCAGATTCTACCAAAGATTTCAGTCAACCTGGTTGCTAAAGCTGGATCATATCTTTTAAAATCCTAGGTGTCAGTCTATCAGGACCCTCTGCCCTCCCTCGCCTTAGATTTCCTATAGCTTTCTCAACTTTATAAAGACTAGGAGGACTTATATCGACTTGCCATTCAGCATGACTGGAGATCGTGGGTAACCGTAGTGTGGCTGGAGCCCAGTTGAACTGATCCCTAAAGTGTTCTGCCCATCGATCCAATCTCCTGGATTGAGAATGAATAATAAGACCATCCATTTCCGATTTAGTCTCACTTAAACTAGGATTCCTAATACCAGTTCCCTTGATAAGTCGGAACAACTGCCTATCGCGGCTGCCTTTTCCATCGCTTTCGCCACCCAACACAGTTCACGGTCGTTGCGTAGGCTTGTCAGCCTGCGCTTAAGCTGACTTCACTCATCATATTCAGAGGCAAGTGGGATGTGTTTTCGAGCATCCATCAGTTCTGTAAATGCTACTGAGATCCACGGCTTCTTCCTAGACTTATAGTTTACCTTACTAGCAGATATCACTGCTGTTTACACAGCCTTCTTGATATCATTCCAACCTGCCTCCAGATGGGAATCACTTACACGGTCGCCAAACTTTTTCTAGTTCCTCTGGATATATATTTTTAGCCATGTTATCATTAGGTAGGACCTTAAGAGGTTTCCTTGCAGTGTCTTTCCTACATCCAGTAAGTCGCAAACAAATACGTACTCGCACTAGGGCGTGATCTAGATCTAGGCATGTGCTCCAGAACGAGCAAAAGTCATTGATCGTACCTCTCCATTGGTGGCTGCTAGCAATGTGATCTAGTTGGGTCCAGCGTTGTGACGACTTCGGGGGTCGCTAGGTTATAAGATCCTTTTCCTTATGCATTAAGTTAGTGTTTTCTAGAAATAGGCGATTATCTTGGCATAGTTGCAGTAGACGGCCGCCGTTATTTGTTCGATCGGCCGCGACACCGTAATATCCTTCCAGGTGTCTTTCCTTTTCACTCAGTCTACCTACTTGAGCATTAAATTCACCAGCCATTATTGATATATTAGAGCACCTAACCTTTTGGAGGAGGTCGGAAGCTTTCTGTAAGACTCATCTTTGAACTCGTCTGAACTGCAGTCAGTGAGAGCGTAGGTAGATACGATGAAGAGGCAACGGTGAGTTTCCCTATCTTTCTGAGTCCTTACTATCCCGTTCAGTCGGACAGCACACAAACGACTATCTACCGGGATCCAGTCTAGGAGAGCTAGTTCTGCCTTAGGTCTCAATGCTATACCTACACCAGCGGGTTACACGAAGGTTGAATTGAGACCGTTCTTTATCTTGACAAAATGAATTTAAGTGAATGACGCTACTCGGATCCTGCGCGATTCAGATACTCAGCACACATCAATGGCACGAGATTCCAGAGTCCTAGCTAATGTAGCCTGTTGACCTTTTTGACACAATGTCCGTACGTTAAATGCTCCAACATGCAATTTAGAATGAGGTTTCAGGAGACCAGGGATAACGTTTCTTTAACTTGAGTCTTTTGCATTCGCGGTCCAGTGTGATAAAGGAACCTGAGTAGAGTTAGTCGTGGAGATAAGAGAGATATTAGGGGGTGCAGGAAGGATTTGATTTTGACCAATTCGGTCTTGCGTGCTGTTACGGGTATGAGGGCGGTTGTCACTTCCCGGCTGCCCACACCGTGGATGAATGATCAACGTACACATGTACTCTCTTCATTAAATGATCAATCTAATGAAGAGAGTACATGTGTACGTTGAAATGTGCGTACGTCACCGAGTTCCGATACAATAAAAATGGATTTGCAAACTGCAGTTTTTATTAAAGAGGATGTCTGGCTTATCTAATTTCTGATTGTAATTTAGAAGTGTTATATTTTAGATGCTTCTAACATTCATTGCAGATCTTTCGGAGTATTAAGAATACTTTAAACTGTTTTACCTTCTACATGTGCTGACACAGTCATATATAATTGTATTTAAGGAATTCGTATCTATGTAACTAACTAAAGCGATTATTTGTTATTACTATTTACGGCGATTAATAACAGTTTTTAGAGTTATGTTGTCCTGGACACTAATATATGTGATATAAGTTATAACTGGACGACATAAAATGGAAATAGCTTATCAAATACACTTCAGAAAATGACGAAAGTCTGATGAATCGATAGTTTGTTCTGAGAGTTAGCATTCCTGAATACGACTAAAACAATTAACCCTGGTAATCTTTGATCCATGTTATGACCTAGTGTAATGTGACAATTTTCTACCCTTTCTTATTCTCTATATTACGTTAATTTTCTGTCTCCTTCATTTACAAAGTAATTAAGGAAAATTTGTCTTCCAGCTACCTTTCTGTTATCCACCATCTTGAACAAAAGCTGAAATTAGGTCTGCAAATGTCAATCAATCAACAACAGCGTAGAACTTCATACGTAACTACATCAGTTCAGGTTGCCATACCACATTAGCACAGAAATGTAATTGTCAATTCTACAAATGTCAGTGAAATAGAGGTGGCAAAAAGCCTAAATCAATACAAGTGGGGTATTTTGCTTTTGGAATAGTTATTGATAATTGGTGAAAATACTGAACCCATCGGGGAAGAATTCTCGATAATTTTAAGGTAGAAGAGCTATAGTGTCGTCCTCAAGGCTTGATAGTGCAATTTGTGTTTAAGTTAATTATTTATTGGGTCAAATTTTAGTAACCGACTTGTTCCATGAAAACAAACTGGATGAGGCAACTTTATCTTTTCGTTATATCCACCCACACCTTCACTGATTGCTATAAAGAATAAACACTATCGTCAATTAAATGGACTCAGTAAAGCTAATCCGACGGAACTTGGAAACGCTTCTAGTCATTGAAGAGAATCACTTAAGCGACCAGAGAAGGCTGTGGGTGCAGTGTAGGTAACGGTCTTGATCAGTTTTGTGCAATTTGCAACCTGTTTCCAGCACTAAAACTCGGAACTCTCATCGTCAGTGTACCATCTAGCATTCTCCTACAAATAAAGTCTAGACCGACATTACAGTCAGCTGTCGTCGTTGAGGATACGTATTCATCTGGATTCTGAGTATGGCCTCCTCGGTGCCTAAGTTCTCCTACTTTTCGAAGGTCGACAAACACTTTATCCTGAAATGACTGATCAAGTGAATTGACCACAAATTATGTTGTAATAAGAGGTCTGTATTCAAGACTAACTGTTAGTTTGCACACACTGTTGATTAGGTTCATTTCGAATAATTTCTATTTACTAAATCTCTTCTCATTACTAAGAATGATTTGAAATTGTGCGGATTAGAATTCATATTGCCAGGATTAATGTGTTAAACTTGAAATTTAGAACAGCACTTAGTACAGCATTGGTTACCACCCATTATCAAGCTTCGAAATGAGTCCTTATCGTAATGGATATCTTATTGATAAAGCTGTTGAGAGTTCTTCTAACATGATCACATTCGAAGGTGAGAATATTTGAGATGGTGGAGAAGATTGTAGCTCAGGTGAATGATTGTGGTGGTGGTGTTTGGTTCTCTGAGCTGGGTGTTTTGGTTGTGGAGCTTTCATTGTTCTTCTGATCAACATCATCAGCACAAACTTCAGATAGAAGTGAAGCATTCGAATTTCTCCACGTTTGACCTGTAGCTTGTTCTGCTAACCTCGATCTTGATTGGTTGCTGCAATCAAAACAAAGGTGCAAACAATGGCAGGTTTAAGGTCAACAGCGACCAATCAAGATCGAGGTTAGCAGAACAAGCTACAGGTCAAACGTGGAGAAATTCGAATGCTTCACTTCTATCCGAAGTTTGTGCTGATGATGTTGATCAGAAGAACAATGAAAGCTCCACAACCAAAACATCCAGTTCAGAGAACCAAGCACCACCACCACAGTGAGAATATTTAGATAAATGCATGTCGATGGACACACTGCTATTAATAGAAAGTATTGCGCTTGGCAACGCTGTTACCGTAATACTTATTCGAGAATCTAGAATCAAGTCATACCAGAAGTCAGCAATGAATGGGTTAGGGGATATATTTCGAAAAAAAGCGATAAATCGAGTAGTATACTATCTCAGCTGACTAGTCGTTGTAAGATATGCACAATGCGGTGTAATCAATCGTGGTCTGGAGCGAGTGTTTGCTCAGCCACATTCAGATAAGATATAACCAATAAGACTAACGAGGTTGATGCTGATGTTGAAGACCTACAGAAGTATTTATTTTGGCGATTTATTTATCACTACGATACTCAATACCTCGATAACCACTGGTGCCCGTAAGCGGAAATTCAAATGTACGTGAAGAAGGATATCAATAACACAATGTTTTGTGCTATCGGGTAAAATGAATTTAGTTTTCTAAGGGAGATGTGAACGTAATAAAAATAAAGTTATGCTGCTACTAAATGCCAGCCACCATGGATTCAACGACTAGTGTTCTGTCTATGAACTTGAAACTCATTTTGTGACAAAATTGATTGTAAAATCATAAACTACTTGAAAGTAGCATAATTTTAAAAGTGAATTTGACATTTTGATGTCATCAGACATTTTTTGTTTGGAATGACTTCTCTAAATGCTGTACTTGCTTTAAATCTTCTATATGTATATGCTTACTCATTTACAAACAAATTTTTAAAATCATTTGTTTTTAACTGATAAAGAGATTATATTAGGCTTAATTTATACACAGGCCATACTCAGAGGCATGTATTTGAGTGCTCGTGAATATGTATCTGCATGGTTGAGAAAAGAACTTTTGTATTTATTTTCAGCCCCATTCTTTCTCATAATAAGTAGATGAAGGTTTTTCTAGACCGTATTGAATACTGAGCAATCAGGTGAGTGTTCAAAATAACAGCTTCCTGTAGTAGGTAGTAAATATTAAATATTCCGATTGTGAATGTTAGAACAGCACATATAAACGAACAATAATGCTTTGGGTCAGATCGTCATCAGGCTTTACTGAATATACATGAATATCAATATGAAGGTTTTAAAGCAGTCAAGTCAATCCATGGAATATATTACGTAACTACACATGATAGGTGAAAGAAGAAGTTGGTGGCAGGATGACAGGTGCACTGTGAATGGTAAGAATAATAAAACAATAACAAAAGTATTTGTTAGTAGCTCAACGTTAGGAGTATTAGGTCAAACTTGGATAGATAGACTTGAAATAATAACATAAAGCTCTGTTAGAACTACGTGATAAGAGAAGTGTAAAATAATTAGATAGCGAAGAATATAAACGGAGGCAGAAAGGATGTGAAAATAATGCTAATGATATCGAAAAATAAAAATTTTAAAATCGTTTATTAAGTTATATCCGGCCAAGAAAGAGAAAGGAGTGTCACGAATTTCGTTTGAGCACATAAATTGGGGTTGGATATGGATTTCTATGGCTTCTGCTATATATATGTAAGAGACGGGATTAAACTTCATTTGGAAATAATGGAGGTGTACGATAGATCACTTGAAATGATTCGGTTTTATCTATATTATGACCACTATCAATCAGGTGTGCTAAGATAGAACTGCGTATCGTTTTCATCTGGCACTTTCCAAACCATGCTGGGAGATATCCTGGTGTCTTTTCGAAGTCCTATTTCAATTAGGATTATTCATATTGTCATAATGATGATGACCACTTCCGAGGAACCAAACTGATATATACAAAAAAGCTATATTCAACCTTTGAGTTTGTCATGGTCCATTATTAGGTATCCCTATACATAAGATATATAACATAAAACGTAACTTTTCAACCCCATTTCATGTTTATCCTTTCCCTGCCTATCCAAACGTGTAAATTTATGTAACAATTGACATGAGTTTCTGATAATAACTATCAAGATAATATTTATCTTACTGGATTGATATCTGTAGATGATAATTTCATTACTATGAAAGACTGTCCTGGGAAACTTTTCTAAACTGACAAACTTTTGCTGCTCACATAAAATTTACTTTCTAAAATAAACTCGCTGAACTATCATTCTCAGTTTAAAAAATTCGAATGGAAGTCTAAATTTAATCAGCCACCACACTCAAATCGATGTACTCAATGCGAAAATCCCATCGGCTTTAAACTTGATCCAAAGAGAGTCAAACACCATAACACCAGATGAAGAGAAACAAAAATATAATCAATATCATGCAATTTAATAACTTTCCCATGAATATGATTAAAATTACAATAAAATGAAATATTCTTTTATTGAATAATAATAAATTGAAGGAACTATCATGATGGATTGGTACTGTAGTTCGATCACATCGTCATGACATGGCCGAAGAACTACAACGAATCTTTATATCACACAGAATGAAGGCATTCTATGAAGCAACGAACACTTTGCAATCCTTTTTCCAAACCAAGATAAAATCACTGTCACTCCGACACAACATTGTATCCTATAGAATAGGATGAGTAGATTGTGATGCGTTCTATGTGGAAGAGTCTTTTCGTGAAACCATAACTCATGTCAAATAACATTTAGGCTGTACGTAAGACTAATATGGATCTCATAGAACTAGAAAATCTACAAATCAAATCAGTAATAGTGATCCTTAACAACCATTAAATCTATATAGTATTTAAAACGATTTCCAGGCGAGTAGCTAGAGTTTTCCATATTTTGATTAACCCTACCGCGCTTAACAGCAAGGGAGGCCTAACATGATACATTTAACAGGAACCACTTCAATTCCGACTGTACTGAAAATATTCCACTGTGTTCTATTTAAGGTTGTGTAAATTTAAATTGTTTGTTCTTTGAAGAAGCAGCTCATAGTGGTGAGTCATGAAATGTTAGAAATCCAATTTTTATTCATTAGGACTTTTACAAATATATTAATTTTATAATTAAAATGAAACTGGTAATTTTTACTTTAAATTATATTATGACTTAGCTCGTGATGTCTTCAGAAAGTCAAATGTGATCTTTATATTAGTGCTGTTTTTGCAACTACCGGACAAAATATTTCACGAAATGAATCCATTCGATAACTTCAAGTCTAAACTGAGACAGATCGTCAAGTCCATGAAATCTACATTGCAAATAATCAACAAATGAGTACAGTGTCGAGTTAAAATGTTTACCAGCAACAATATACATAGTATATTAGCCTAAACGGATTATTACTGATCAGTTACAGCATAATGATTTAAAGAAAATTATTTTAAACATAAATTACTGTATATACTGTAAGACTGTTAGTAAGTTATTCGAAAAATAAATGAAAATTAAAGTATTACATCAATTATATGAAGTAATTATATCGAACATATTTACATACTTCATTCAACTAGCATTTCATAATGCATACAATATCAATGAACATATGAAGTGAATGATTAAAATACAAAATTCATTGAAGAAATCAAAAGGTAATAAAGATCTATATACACACATACATATATAAAAGCTATAAGACTAAGATGTTGATTGATTTAAATAATTGTTAAATAATGCATGAAAGTCACCATCATAAAGATCATGAGCACAATTTCCTTCATTATCTTTAGCATTGATATCAGCATTAGATTTTAATAAAATTTCTATAACTTCATCATGACCACAAGAACAAGCTGTAAATTATATAATAAAATAAACAGATAAATCTAACACTTGAAGAGAAATATTCAGATTCACAGAAACATAATTAAAGTATGATACAAAAGACAAGATCTACGGTTGTCAAATATGAAATTAAAATGTATATGAATATAAATATGCGTTATTGACATGCTACTGATTGGATGACAGGAGTTACTACTTGCTCAGTCTATTTCAAGATTGTTTTGCTTATTATGCATCCTTTTTTCTGATGATTGTTCAATGATTTTACCATTATTCCTAAAATGATAGCATCTTCAAACGTTTGTCTAAAGGATTGAATCTGTGCTGATTAACTTCAGTTAGGACATATTCAATAGGGACGCCTAACTTACATTCCATCCTTCTCAACAATCACATAATATAAATTTCTTAGCAATCCGATGGCTTTTAAAATTATAGCTGGAAGCAGCCGCCAAAAGATGGTTTATAGTTAGTATTGTTATTTTAGGTGTGTCATGATTTAAAAGTCCCTATATCTAGTCTGATTGGTTCTTCCTTAAAATACAGTTTCACTAGTATTTGTTATCTTTGAAGGTTTGCACTTGTCCGTTTTTAGTACAGAGGAAATGAAAGTAGATTCAACTGGTCAATTTCAAGTACAACAAGAAGTGCACTCAGCATTTCTCCGGTTTCCATTATAAAGAAGTAATAATCATCTGTTTAGATAGCTGTCCCACTTGCTTTTATCTTATTGACTCATGCCTGATCGGTTAATAGCATTATTCATAGAGCGAGATGTATACTTATTGTCAAAACCCGTTCCTTGGTTGGATACACAGAAACTCAGAATACAAATGGTCGAAAGTTTTTAAAAAACATGTCACGTTAGAAAAGTTGGTAAATAGAAAAGAAATTATCTTCATCCTACCATAATGAAGAGGTGTTTGTCCTTCAGCATCCTTGACATTTATATTTGCATTATATTTGATTAGAGTTGAAACTAGATCACTGAATCCTCGGTCTGAAGCCCAATGAAGAGGAGTCATTCCCTTAACATGTAAGTATGATGGGAATATGAAAATAATAACAGAAATGAGAATGAAAACAGTCAGTTTAATATTTGGTTTTTGTTTCATCATGAAATAATTAGTAAAATTACTTGAGAAATGCGAAATAATAGACTAGAAATATGAGAATATCTACATATTTTATCATTAAGTGTTGATGAAAGAGTCTCATCACCATCTCTTTGTTAATTTATTGTCATTTTACTACCTTGCTGTGAATTATTTAGACACATGCAAAATGAATCAACAGAATATATGGCAAAATAGGATAATAATTAATTAATTTGTGTAACGTCTTTCTAGATGTGATTGCAATCTTACTAATCAAAGTTTATCTAGTGTGAACATTAGTGTCATCGAAATCATAATGACTTCAAAGATTTTGATTTTAGTAACACTGATGACCTTCACGTTTATAACTAAAAGTTTAATACATGACTGTATTTAGACAGTTTCTCGTTTACCAAGTAAAGATTTTCGTGCTCAGCCACGATGTAGGCGTGAGGACTAGTGTTGTTACATAGTTTTCTAAGTAGAGGTAAGTAGACCGGGATTTCAACATGAAACTTAGTGGCTGAAAATCGAACGCCATAACCACCAAACAATCGCTTCACTACATGAGTTACTGTTGCACTTATCTTACTACGGTTAATATTGTATAACCGATGAAAACAGGTTAACTTATATGGTTTATTTAAACAGATAAACACTGGTACTAATGGGGCACCTGAATATTTATGAGCCAAACAGATCAATCGATTTGTGAGTGGACTGTGATACTGGCCGGCCGCTTAAACTGAATCACGTGCTCTTCTTAGGGAGCCATACCTCGAACATTTGATCCAAAAATCTAATCTAGAAGGTAGTGGAGCAACGTAAGGAGACCCAGTACCATGGTAGCCAGTGACCAACAGGTCCATACGCCATTTGTTCCGTCAGGGTCCTGGAGCCCATGTGCACCACTGATTTTGGATCAGGGTTTCCAACTCGCTCAGGCGGATCCTCTATACCCACCAGTCCGGTCAAAGCGCCGGATACTCTTTATTCATCCTCGCAATTTTGTAAACAAAAGACCCGCCACAAGAAGGCAGTGAGTAGGAATTCCTTGGGAGTGGTTATATACGCATAGCCCTACGAGAGCATTTCGAGAGGAAGAGAGGACTTTTTCCACTCTCGCCCGTACCACGGCGTTTGAGAGCTTACATGATTATAACGATGAAAACTCTGTTTCTTACCGATACATCTTTGCATAAATTTGAAGATATTGAAACATTAGGATTTTAATTAATATTCTCATACCTTATTATCACATTTAAGTGAAGAGTGAAAATATGTACTAAGGTCAGTATTATTTACAACTTACTTTAATAGTTAATTTAGCTTTGGAATTAGGTTTGAATTTCTAGGTAAACAAGAAATTATCGGCAGTATACACTTGATGCTTTAATTTAAATCTTTGTTAGGTGAACATTTCACTTGGTAGTTGGTCATTAACAGTAAATTAATTTTCTAAGAAAATTCACACATTCAGTAATGAATTTCGGTTTTTATTTATTGTTCATATTTTTCCTCCAATACTGTTTGTTTTTGACATGGGTAGAAAAAAAAATCGTGGATTGAAGCTCTCAACACATTTTAGTTGATACATCTTTGCTATAAACTGTAAGTATATGTTGACAATATTTCGCTTCGATTAATCAGCTTAAAAATTGTTTTATAATGAGATTTGAAAAACAAATATGAATTAGGAGTTAATTTTATCTTGTCATAATCCTGTATAAATTAAACGATACTTATAATTCAAGAATGAAATCATTAAGATCAAACAAAAAGTCAACCATGTATGAGCTTAGTGATAAAAAAAAAGTTGACTTAAATTCTGATTTTAAAAAGTGCCTTACATTTTTATCGACTGAATGAACTTCATTACTATTGACTGATAAGAGACAATTTAAAGACTCCAAATCATGTTGTTTAATTATATTAAAAATTGACTGATCATTGTCAAATGATAATGGTGATTCATTTGAATTTGGATCCAAATTAATCATTCGACTGACATATACAGATCTTTGTTTTTCATTCTATATATATAAATATACAAACAGTAAGTAGAATATTTTATTTGATTAGTGAAAATTGTCATATAATTGCTTAATTATTAGATGATCGAATTACCTTACGCCTATATGTGTGTCTGTGTTCCAGGACCTGTCGTAGTGTGAAGATGTGGTCTATATAGCCACGTCCGGGTCGAAAACCAGCCTGATTTTCTCTAGTCTGCTCTTCACGAGCTCTAGTTAGACGTCTAAGTATAATCGAGGCTAACAATTTAGAAACTATATTAGTTAAACTTATTCCCCTGTGATTGTCACAAGAGGACTTTTGTTCTTTCTTGTAGATTGGGACAATTAGCTACTGAAACGAGTCAGATGGGATTACGTCCAGTTCCCAGATTCTACTTAGGATCTCGGTCAGTCTAACTGTTAAAACTGGACCACCATCCTTAAACATCTCAGGGGTAAGCCTATCAGGACCTGCTGCTCTACTTCGCTTTAGATTTCCTATAGCTTTCTCAACTTCATGTAGACTGGGAGGACGTAAATCGATTGGCCATTCAGGATGACTGGGGATCGTGGGTAACCGAAGAGTGGCTCGAGGTCAGTTGAACTGATCCCTAAAGTGTTCTGCCCATCGATCCAGTCTCCTGCATTGAGAATGGACAGTCTCACTCACATTCGGGTTTTTAATACCGGTTTCTTAGATAAGGCGGAAAAGTTGTCTAGTGTTGCCTATCGCCGCTGCCTTTTCCATCGCTTTTGCTTTCGCCACTCACCACTGTTCGCGGTCGTTACGTAGGCTTCTAATCAGTCTGCGGCTAAGCTGACTACGCTCTTCATCATGTTCACAGTCAGGTGGGATGCGTTTTCGAGCATCCATCAGTTCGGTGGATGCGACTGAAATCCACGGCTTCATTCTAGCCTTATGGTTTACCTTACTAGCAGATATCACTGCTGTTTCTACAGCCTTTTTGATATCATTCCAACCTGACTCCGGATGAGAATCGCTTAGATGGTCGCCTAACTGTCTTTCCAGTTGTTCCTGAAATATATTCTTCGGCGTATTATGATTAAGTAAGACCCTAAGAGGCTTCCTTACGGTGTCTTTCCTAAGCCCAGTAAGCTTCAAACAAATACGCGCTTGCACTAGGGCATGATCTGAATCTAAACATGTGCCCCACAACGAGCGACAGTCTTCTATCGAACCCCTCCATCGGTGGCTGATGGCGATGTGATCTAGTTGCGTCCAACGTTGAAACGACTTTGGAGGTCGCCAGGTCAACAGATGCTTTTCCTTATGCCTAATGTTAGTGTTTGCTAAGAATAGGTGGTTGTCTGAGCATACTAGCAACAGACGGTCGCCATTGTCTGTTCTCTGAGCCACGAAACCATAACATCCAGCTAAGTGTCTTTCATTTTCACTTAGTCTACCTACTTGAGCATCGAAGTCACCAGCCATTATTACTATATCAGAGCGCCTAGCTTTTTGGAGGAGGTCCGAAAGCTTTCTGTAAAACTCATCTTTTACATCGTCTGGGCTGCAGTCAGTGGGGGCATAGGCAGATACGACGAAGAGGCGACGACGAGTGTCCCTATCCTTTCGAATCCTTACTGTCCCGTTTAGTCGGACAGCGCACAAGCGACTATCTACTGGGATCCAGTCTAGAAGAGATTGTTCTGCCCTACAACTCAATGCTATACCTGTGGTGTGAGCTACTTATAAGTAGTATGTGACGTGAGTGTCAACGTAATGTCTGGCAGCGGAAGATGAGGGGAAGATCAAGAAAGGAAGAGTTAGAAAACAATGGGATTTGTATGAAACGCATGAATAGTGACAATGGATTGATGTTTGGCAACAGGAACAGTCCAGTTCGATATGAGGAACTGATATTTTGCAAATGAACAATTTACGATATGGTTTTCCGATTTTACTGAGTAACTCTGTAATTTTCGTTAAATACAATTCGGTTGCCCCACCTGTGTTCTCGTTCACTACATACCTACACCAGCGAGGCCCCTGGAAGCAGCATCAGGGCTACCGGATATACGAAGGGTAAATCGAGTTGCTTTATCTTGACATGGCGAGGTCAAGTGAATGATGCTACTCGGATCCTGTATGCGCGTTTCCGAGACGCAGCACACATCGATCGAGCGAGATTCTAAATTCCTAGCTAATGATGCCTGTTGCCCTATTTGACACGATGTGCGTACATTAAATGCTCCAACATGTAGTCTACAGCTCTGCAGTAGTCAGCGGTACGACTTCGCCCTCAGACCTTGAGTAGCTGCCTTTAGTCTCATCGTTCTCCAATCGACCTGCCTGGCATGGTAGAACCTTGAGGAACATATGTTGCAGCCAGTGTAGCTCGGTTGGGTCATTACGACAGGCAAGCCCGATCACCACGTCAAGGTAGCAGCTTCGGTTGGGAAAGGACATTTGTCATGTGCCGATTGAGAATCCACCTTTAGAGTAAGATTGAATGTTTGATAGTTGGAAAATATAAACAATAAAATTGGACAATAATTGAAGAATTATAAGATATCATCTAACTTTTTCTAGATCAATTCCAGCTTGATTATCGATCACTAAAATTTCACTATTCGTAAAAATAGCGTTGTTATATCCATAAAAAAGTATTGTACTTTTATTCTATAATTCATTCCTACTGTACGGATGCGAGACTTGGCCGTTAAGGGTAGAGGACTTCCGTAGGTTAATAGTCTTTAATCATCGATGTCTCCGAAGCATTGCTCGTGTATCATGGGACAACCGTATGAGCAATGCTGTCGTTAGGAAACTAGTTCTAGGTAGGGACGGCAAATCAATAGATGAAGTAGTGAAACTTCATCAGTTGAGGTGGTTGGGACATGTGTTACGTATGGCTAACCACCGACTGCCTCGACGAGCTATGTTTTGCAGTTTAGGAGTAGATTGGAAGAGAGCTAGGGGCGGCCAAGCCAAAACATGGCACAAATCCATGAAGTCACTGACAAGTGGACGGAGTCATGTTGGTAGATGTAGACTACCTGGTTGGGGTCCGCGAGACGATAGTAACCGACGGTTAGAGTCCTTGAGTGAAATGGCTCAGAATCGTTTGCAATGGCGCAGGTGCATCCACTCTTTGAGTTCTATGAAATTCTAAGCTTCTGCATTCCTCATAATCTCTATCTTTCTCCTTATAAATTTTTCTCACTGAATTATACTTCTCGAATCATATCTTCGCTCACTAATCTTCTCCATTACTGCTAATACTTCTATTATCGCTACCACTCTTGGATTTGAACTGACAGTTGCGTCTCTGAGCTGATGGAGCATGGCAACCTGAACTGATGTACGTACGTACGAAGTTCTGCGTTGTATCTGTCTGTCTATAATTCATTCAGGGAGTATATTCGATGAAAATTTATCTGTTAGTCAGTTGAATATCGTAAAGAACAAATTAATTTGAACTATAATATATAAGTCACTTAATCTAAATACAATGCATGTGACTGATTGATTTTTCTCAATTTTGAAACTCAGTGATCAAGTGGAAGTGTATATATTATATTAAAATTTACGCAATCGAATACACTGAAAAATTATTTTATTATTTACAATGAATTATTCCACTAATAAAAGAACACTGTGGGTTTTAAGTCAATCTTATTAATATGGATTAATATAGGAAGATCGTTATAATTGTTAGGCTTAAGAATTTAGTATTAGTTAGAATTAACTGGTCAAATAATGCAATTTGATTGATAAGATTAGTTTCAAGAAATTATTATTTTCTCAATAATATAATTCTTTTTCTTAAAAATTGAATAAGTTACAATGAACTTAAAGCCAAATACTGTTTTTTCGGGGCAAAGTTTTGGAGGTTTGTGTTTTTACACATTAGCTTCGTGAGGAAATTCTCGTAGTTCTAGTTGAGAAGACGTGACCAATGGAGTTCAACCCTGTCGGGTGTAGGCGGTAACCATCAAAGACAAATGGGTGAGGTCGCGCAAAATCCCTAGATCAATCAGAGTTAGACATTAACACCGTTGGACGCCGGCCCAGTGGTCCAATGGTTAGGCGTTCGCGCACAATACCGAAGGTCCCGGGTTCGAATCCTACGAGGAGCAGGAGTCGTGGATGTGCACTGCTGATGAGCCCCATACCAGGACGAAACGGCCGTCCAGTGCTTCCAGGTTTCTAATGGTGGTCTAACAATGATTGATTGATGATTTCAAATGTGCAAATACTGTTTGTTAATGATTAGCAATGATAAATTAGATCAAATTCAAAAACTTGATTAACCACATGAAATTCTTGTTAATTATGTGATAAATTATTTAAACACTATATTATGAATTCAATAATAAACACATGTAAATGAATATTAAAGATTCCCATTGTGAAAATTAGAACAACACATATAAGCGAACAATATTGTTTACGATTAGATCGTCATCAGGCTTTACTCTAATATACATGAATATTTATATGAAAATGTTAAACCAATCAAGGCAATTTAAGAGTCAATAATCACAATGAAATGAAATAGATTACGTCACTACACATATTTTAATATCAAATGATAACAGTATTTGGAAATCAGATTACATGATAGAACAGTAAATATAATCTATGTAACTTAAGATTAGTTAATTAATTATACATATAACTGTTATCACAGATTCAGATAGCGGTTATTCTCTGAATTAGTTACACTTTCCATTTAACTCAGTAATCAAATACAAGTTCATGTTCTTGACATAGAACCAAACTTTTCGTGTTACATCTAAGGGTATTCCTCAGTTGCTTCAACCAAAGTATGTTGAACGAAGCTCGAAAGTGTTACTCAGTTCTCAGAAATTGGGCTTTTGATCTGCTCGGTCATTACAAGTAGGGACCAGGATATTATACAAATAGATTTCCTGTTTTAATATATACTACCTTTCGTAAAGTTTGTAACCTCTTTTAATTTTAAACGGACATTAGTTGCAGGTATACTAGAGTTTTTGTCGATTTAGGAACCAAAAAGTTATTTCATCTGAAATTAATCTTAAGGTGCCTGAAAAACATGGTTTTATGAACCAACAATCCTGATTGCAGGGGAAAACTAAAGTTACCGATGGTTTCCATGAAGGATTAATTTCTTGTAGCTTATTAACATACTGCTTTTGTGCCTCGTTGACAGACATATTTCCAAGTTCGTGCCACGCCCACCTGAAATTGGCCAAGAACAAAAGAAAGCTATCATAAAAAGATAACCTGAACAGAAATTACGATTGTATTGTGATGTTGCTTACGATTAGAAATTGAAATGTAAACTCGACTGCACGAACCCTAATAAGCACTAACATATCTTTAAAAATGTTTTCAATGTGTTTTGTTGAGTGAGCAGCACAATGGATAACGAAGCCTGTCAATTGAAGTAATTAGTGACATATTCGGGCATCAGTTGTAATGTGTAAATCGAAGGAATATATATTATTCTTGATGAGTCTTGCTTCAAATTTTGGGGACGAATTTGTCACAGAAACCATAGATTGTCACATGTCTTCGTGTCGACGCTTAGATGATTATTGCAAAGAAACTTTTAAAGAATTAGGAAACTTATGAGTAGTTTTAAGCACCTTTGGATATTACGATCGTGTGAGTGAGTTAAACAATCTCCGTCTATGAAAACTAGCTTACGTCATACGACCAATCAAAACATCATTTGCTCATGTAGTTACAATAATCACATACATCTATAATCAAACCTTTTCACTTTTATTAGTTTGTGTTACTATAGCGAATTCTGTGAAATATCAATTCCTTATTTTAATTTTAAATTAGTTCATAAATAACTCAAATAAAAACAAAATGGATAATAAAATCTACTAACCAAAATTCTGATGTTGTACAAAACAGAGTTACATATCTATGACACGTGCAAAAAAATCCTAACGTATTCATTTATCGTAACAGTGGAAACAAGTCTCACCTACTTCGGTTTTGGTAATTCAGTAGTACCATATTAACCCTTACTTCTATAGTGTCGTCTACATCCATACACTTAGTGAATGAGTTAATTTATTGCTCAATGTCTGAAAATTCACTGGTTAATTTTCGTAGACTGGAAGATATAAGAGAATCATTAATTTTAGGAATACAAGGAGCGTTTTTCAACACACTGTTTACATTTCAAGTGAGTGGTTTTGAGGGAATACAAAAAATTGGCCAGTATAAACATTTGTTCACTGTTTTCTTCTACGTATCTACGTATCTATCTAAGATGCCAGCTTTGTATGCGTATTAAGCATATAATCGATCCAATCAATGAGTATTAATTTCAAATTAGTAGGAAACGATTTTAGTAGTATTTTCAAACATAATATTAGTAAAATTTTTTCGATTAATAAATGTAGATGTAAAGAATAACAAACGTAGCAGAATAGTCTGAATGCATGTTATTTCGTGGTTTCCCATCAACCGCATACAACCTAAACATTGAGTGTGTGAATCATTAGTAAACCAGCTTAGACACTTCATCTCATAATGTCAGAAATGTTTTCATTGATAGAAATAAATCAAGCGGTAATAAGCATGGAAAAAATTATGAATGATATTCAAATGGTAGAAAAATTTATAAGATAAATGATATAAAAATTCTAAAACAAAAGAATGATATTCAAAGTTACGTAATAACAACAACAGCATATAGATTAATAAAAATGAATGAAGCCCAAGAACTTATGAAAAGAAAGGAAAAAAAGTTTGTTATTTAATTTGCAAATAAGGACTGTCACAAATCTACAAATTCGGAAACAAAAATCATCATAGGAAAGTAGGAGTGACGACAAAGTCTTTTTGAGTGCATAAGTATGATAATAGGTTTGAAGAGGTTTATTTAAAAGTTTTAAAGCTCAACGTCCACTATCGAGTAGATGACGAGCAATCGAACATTTGAAGGAATGTTTGACCTCTTAGTCTCAATTTGTGAGGAATACACTCATTGATGCGAACATTACCTTTTTTCTGATTGGTTGATAAATTGGGTCAGTGTCAATGTGTTTGTTAATTGACCATCGACCTGAGTGCCAAGCTTCCAAGAACTCTCTAGTGTTTTATGTATTCCCTCTATTCAGCATTTCAACATTTTTCCAATCGAAAATATGTCCATATTTGTCCGTATGTATTGATATGTGGAAAGAAATGTCATGATGCTCGACTGCTAATTGATGCTCATGCAGATGAAGTTGAAGAGGACGTCCACTCTGTTCGATGTAGTGTTTTTCACAGTTTGAACAGCTTATTTTGTAAATAATGTTCGGATTATTTCTTTAGTCACATTGTCTTTCGGTTTACAAAGGACTGATTGAAGTGACTTTGTTGATTTATGCGCTACACCGATTCCAAATAGCTTCAGTAAACTTGCTGCAATTTCCGATATGTCTTTTATATATGGTAGGATTATCCGTCTGTTGATTCCTGTACTAGATTTTGCTTCTGCTGATGGTTAATGTTTTTCACGGAGTTCCGTGGATAGCCGTACTTTTGAAAGATAGTCACTAGACATTTTTCTTTCGTTTTTTGTGCCTCATGAGTGGTTTGTACGCAAATGATCTTGTGAGTTCTTGGGTTGTTGCTACTGTAGCTGACAATCAGATCTGCTTGGGTCGGCTTCAGATATACTTAATTCTCCAAATTTCTTGTGTCGGTTCTGATGATCGACGCATCCAGAAACGATAATTTGTTGTTTGAATGCTTTCCCATTTTGGATTTTCGTATCATCAAAGACGTTGTTGATCATACTGTAGGTGTTCTCCAGCTCGTCTTTTTTGGTGAAGACGAATGTGCCATCACTATAACGAAACCACATTTTTGGCTTGATAACTTATAAAACTGACGCTTCCAGTTTCTGCATCACTGCTTCTGTAATAAGTTTTGATATTGGTGGTCCCATTGGAGTTCTTTTCGTTTGTTCGTAGATCATGTTTTTCAATTGCAAATATATTGTTAAGCATAAATCGATGAGCTCTAGTAGACTTTGTAGTTTCCTCTACTTTGGGAGATTTTTGTCGTTAGTGAGAGATAGAGTTTTTTTGCTAAGCTTGTTTTTATTGAGGTGAATAAAGCTGTTACCTCTAAGGATATCATCAGTTCGTCGTCGTCAATTTGGATCGTCTTAAGATTATCCAGGATTTTTATGGGAAATTATATGGAGTGATTGGATGAATTCACTATATGTTTCAATATTCTTGAATTTTCTCTTTATAAGCTGTAGGTTGGGGTTTCGGCCTCCCGCAGAATCCTGAAATAACCGACTAACTGGATTTCATTCTCCACTAATGTGGTTTTGAAATCTGTCCTGCTTTAACAAGCTTGTTGAAAGTCCTTGGGACTTAGTTGTCTAGTATTTTTACTGGATTTGCATCCATTGGTTTCGATACATTTTAGTCCTCAAATAGTTTCTCGACTTTCCTGACATAATCTTTCTTGTCCATAATTACTTTAGTGCACCCTTTGTCCGCTGGAAATATGACAATTTCTTCCCTAGTTTTGAGTTTCCTTAAGGCCTTTCGTTCTTGTGCTGTTAGTTGAGTGTTGTCTCTCATCCGTCGAGTTAGTGGTACTATAGCTTGCCTTATTTTCTTTTGGGTCTAGAATCAGCTTTACTAGATACTGCCTGATTTTTGAATCCAAATTATATGATCAGTCTCTTTTGGCATATGTGAATCCTGTGAGGATTACCCCGATATTTCCATTGAGTTACAAGCATAATAAACAGAAATTAATGGTGGCTAGCAGAGAAATCAAGGACATGAGTTCCGTCTACTTTGGGACTTGCCAGCTGCATGTAACTGCATCCTATAGGACGAAACGCACGTCCTGGATTCTGTTGTTTGCCTATGTTTATAATGATCTTCAACTTTGATTAAAGATGGAAAATACCGACTGTTGAATTCTCGATAAAATTGGATAAAACATCGCTTATACAACTATTAATTAGTTAGGCAGCTATGATGAATATGATTTAAAAAGTGTATAAAATCTGTGGCATGTCAATGGAATACAAATTTGAAACTTAATAAGGGTATTAGGTTTTCCTGATATTATTTTTTAAAATGCACTTTTTTTACCCACTTGCCATTGTGTTATCAACATCTGTAAAAATATACACCGAAAAATTTCCTATAAAATCACGTGATATAAAATTATGTTGAAATGTCTTATCATATATATAATAAAATAAAGATAGAAATCAATGTGGTTGAGATTTATGTTAGGTACACCTGGGGGTAAATTGAAGGATGCAGGATGAAATCATCATTTTATTGTCCCATATTCGTTGACATTTTATATTTCCTTAGGTCCTGGATACTTGTCATCCCCAACATTAATCAGTTATTTTTTAATTTTGATATTAATTTCTCAACCACCACTTGTTGACTTTGTTTTTTTTAACCGATACTGTTCTAACATGAAGGACAGTAACTTGGTCCGGCAAGTATTGTACCAGGTCCCATTTTGTTTATATATTCAGTCTAGAAATGACTTTTCTTTTCTTAATGGCAGACAAAAAATAACTACTGAGAGCACAGATAATTGATGGGCGCCAATAAACACAAAGCAAATAGACTAACGATAACAACGCTAGACCTGTCAAAACCATTTAGTTAATCTTCATTAATTAGTTTTAAATATTCAATTCGTAATGAAAAATATAGATTATTGAATGTCCTCATTCACTATATATGAACTGAAAATATATTTACCATTTTTTCCGACCACTAACATCAAAGATTCCTGGTTTTGAAACATTGCATGGGCCAACAGTGACCTGTAACAGAAATAATGGGAAATAATTTAAAACTTGGATACTACAGGAGAAATTATTAGTTTATAAATTTCACAAAACACTTTTTTACACAGGGGTAGTTAATATGAATTAAACAGTACTTTAAATCAAAACAAAGATACATATTAAATATTTTGATCAGAGTTTGTAGTTGTTAGTATAAACGCACTTTTATAATGGAAAGACCTACTTATGAAGGTTTTCTGCCATATACTCATGAACGTTAACAATGTGATCGCGTCCTGAACATCCCCTATTGCTTAAAGTGGTCAGAAGATTCAGCATTTTTCGCCAAATAGAACTGTCATCGGCACATTCTAAGTCAGCAATCGAGTTTCCCGGCAAAAGTTCAACTTCTGATAAGTCAGACGATGAAACTATCGTATCTAGAAGCATATCACTGACAAAGTTGAACAGGGTTGGGGAAAGCGGAAAACCATGACGAACAATACTTGAAGTAATGAATTCCGATGACAGTTCGCCATAAGCTCTCCCTCGACCAGTGATGTTCGAGTAGAGGGCTTGTACACGGTTAATGTACATCTTTGATATTCCTTTTAATGACAGACACTTCCACCGCACCTCACAATCGACATAGTCAAATGCCGCCTTAAGGTCCAGGAATATTACTATTGTCGGACATCTGAATGTGTCGATGTCCTAGGACCTGATTGAAATGTGATTATATGATCTATACAGCCACGTCCAGGTCTAAAACCAGCCTGGTTTTCGCGAGTCTGCACTTCACAAGCTCTCGTTAGGCACCGAAGTATTTTTGAAGCTAACATTTTAGAAATTATATTAGTTAAAATTATTCCTCTGTGATTATCACAAAAAGACTTTTGTCCACTTTTACAGACCGTGACCATCAGAAATTGAGAGCAGTCAAATGGAATCACATCCAGTTAGTCAGTCAGTCAAGACGTAGAACTTCGTACGTAAGTACATCAGTTCAGGTTGCCATACCACATTAGCACAGAGACACAACTGTCAGTTCAAATCCAATAGTGGTAGCGATAATAGAAGTATTAGCAGTAATGGAGAATATTAGGAATAGAAGATATTATTCAAGAAGTACAGTCCAGTGAGATAACTTTAGGAAGTTAAGGAGACAGATGATGAGGAATTCAGGTTAGAATTAGAGAGAACACAAAGAGTGGATGCACTTGAGCCATTGCAAACGATTTTGAACTATGTCATTCAAGGTCTCTAACCATCGATGACTTTCGTCTCGCGGACCCCAGCCAGGTAGCCTACATCTGCTAACATGACTCAGTCCACTTGTCAGTGACTTTATGGATTTTTGTTATGTCTTGGTTTAGCCGCCCCTAAACTTGTTCCAACCTACTCCTACAACACAAAACATCGTTCATCGAGGAAATCAGTGGTTGGGAATACGTAAGACGTGACCCAACCATCTCAACTGGTGAAAGTTCACTACTTTATCTACTGATCTGCCGTCCCTACCTTGTACTCGTTTCCTAACCATAGCGCTGCTTACTCGGCTGTCCCAAAATATACGAGCAATACTTCGAAGACATCTATAATCGCATACTAATAACCTACGAATGTCCTCTACTCTTAACGATCATGTTTCGCATCTATATGGTGGGATAGAGCGAACTATTGAGCAGTAGACTCGTCCTTTGGTTAGCGAACGGATATCTTGACTACACCATAAGTGATGCAGGTTTTTAAAAGCCAATCGGGCCTTCTGTATCCGTGTTGAGATTCCGTCAGTCACCAGGCTATCAGCATTGATGAGACTTCCGAGATAAGTGAAGCGGTCTACATGCTCGACTACTTCACTTCCTATCACTAGTTCAGGTGCCGATGTAAGCTTATCCTGAAGCAACATTTTGCATTTCGAGGGTGAGAACCGCATTCCGAACATGCTTGCATTGTTGCTGAGAGTAGTCAGAAGACTTCGCATTTTATCAGCATCTTCACCAAGTAGTTCTATGTCATTTGCATATTCTAAGTCAACAAGCGACTTTCTTGGTAGAAGGTCTACTCCTGAAAATTCACACGAAGATAATGTTATATCCAGAAGCATGTCTATGAAAAAACTGAACAAGAACGGAGAAAGTGGACAGCCCTGACGGACAACTAACACAGTGTGAATGTTTGGTCTATCGATCCACGTACAGGTCGGAGGCCAGCCTGGTTTTCTCTAGTTTACTCTTCACGAGCTTCCATTAGGCGTCAGAGTATTATTGAGTCCAATATTTTAGATTCTATATTAGTTAGACCGATTACTCCGTGAATTACTCACATTGTCGCCTAATTGCGTTTCTAGTTGCTCCTGAAATATATTCTCAGCTTTGTTATCATTAAGTAGAACCATAACAGGTTTCCTACCAGTGTCTTTCCTGCGTCCAGTAAGTCGCAAACAAATACGCGCTCGCACTAGGGCCTGATCTGAATCTAAACATGTGCCCCAGAACGAGCGACAGTCCTCTACACAACCCCTCCATCGGTGGCTTATGTGATTTCGTTGGGTTCAGCGTTGAGACGACTTTGGGGGTCGCCAGGTCAAGAGATGTTTTTCCTTATACTTACAGTTAGTGCTTGTTAGAAAAGGCGGTTAACTAAGCATAGCTGTAGTAGACGGTTGCCATTATCTGTTCTCTAAGCCACGACACCATAAGATCCACCCAGGTGTCTTTTCTTTTCACTCATTCTACCTACTTCAGCATTGAATTCACCAGCCATTATTGATATATTAGAGCACCTAACCTTTTGGAGGGGGTCAGAAGCTTTCTGTAAGACTCATCTTTGAACTCGTCTGAACTGCAGTCAGTGGGAGCGTAGGTAGATACGATGAAGAGGCAACGGTGAGTTTCCCTATCTTTCTGAGTCCTTAATGTCCCGTTTAGTTGGACAACGTACAAGCGACTATCTACCGGGACACAGTTTAGGAGAGCTAGTTCTGCCTTAGAATTCAATGCTATACCAACACCAGCGTTTCGTTCTCTGAGCTGAACGAAACACCACCACAATAATCTACCTGAGCTAAAAATTAAGCTGCAGGACTCTCTGAAAGTAAAAACATTATAGTTTATTTCGAACAAAAGTTATCCATTCAAGGTTTCTAAAGATTAACCTGCTAGAGGTAAATAAATGAATTTTATATGAAAAAAGTAACCTTTGGATTACTTCTGTACTGGATCGATGGAAATATACACTATGGAAACACTGTTAAAACTTGCACGTATCGAACTGGAAAAGTGTAAACACTAACTGACCTGCTTGTACCTAGCGTAGAAGTAGAGTAACGTGTTTTGGTCCAGAGAGTAAGCTATTTCGGTTAAATGCGCTGCTGCTTGTTCAAAGCAACTATCTATTGATACGTTCTCCGGTAACTCAACCTAAAAGTTCCAATCAGTGTATTCTGTCGTTTTATGAAAAAGTAATATCAGAAGTCCAAGTAACTTATTATGCTTATATTGATCTCACAAAGTCCACTTTTACAAAAAATCAGATACAAATTGCGAGTAAAATAAAAAAGTATAATCTCCGGAAAAGGCAACACTTAGTCAGCCAGATATTGAGGATTTATTGGAAGTACGAGTGTTTGTTTGTAGGATAAACATTCAAAATCAGTTACGTTATTGGAATGGAAGCAAGCAACAGGCAAGACTATTCGAAAACACTTCAGATCTTCCTACATATATAAATCAAGAATTCTTTAGTGCTTTTGGAAGAGGAAATGATAATTCGTAATTTGATTTCCAAAAGGAAAAACTAGAGTACGTAGTTAGATCAACCATTACAGGATCAACTATGTCAGGTGAATGTTCATCAGCTAGAGTTGAAGTTTCTGACTTAAGAGCAGAACTGGAATTATAATCAACAAGATGTGAAATTCGTGTGGCCTGGTACTCACAAAGAGGCGGGAAGTGGAGATCAACTAAGTCACCTAACTCATGATAACTTGTACTTCTTAGATACTGATATTCATTACGAACTTCTCCTCGTGGGTTGATTGTGAATATTCGGGAAAGCTCGATCCCAGCCTTTTGATACGCACACACATCATTTACCTTGTTACCGAATCCTGCATAGAGTGGAGAGGAGCCCTTCGGAAAAAGACTACACACGTCTTGTAGGCATTTCGTTTTAAATAGCTCTGGTTTATTAATAATGACTTCTTGGTGAAACGCATGGAGTAGAGAATTCGGAGACAATAGTATTGGTCCATCCGGCAATCTGGATGCTGAATCCTGAACAACTTGCCTTAAATAGCTCCTAGTTATACCAGCCTGTCCGATAGCTCGAGCTGAAAGATAGAGGAATTGATAACCGTTGTTTTGAATTCGATTGTATAGTCGAGCAACTCCAGGGTGTGTCCAATCACGACCCAACATAGGAAGCAAATGTCCAAGTAAGTCACTACGTGTAATGGTTCCATCAACGTCAGAAACAATTATTTTGTCGTACCAATGCCAATAGTAGATAGAAGCTGAACATGTGCAAGTCCCTTGATACTTTGTAGTGATGCGAAACTCTATATCATTTCGTCCAGGTTTGAGTTTCAATCTAGCTACTTCACTAGAAGAAAGCCTGTTGATTTTAGCAACTCTGTGAGTAATGTGCATCTAGAAGTATTAGTTAAACGTAAAGACAAACCTACTTGGGGTGCCTGTAAGCTTGAACTGGAATTATGTGGTTTCTCTTCAGGACAATCAACTTTTTTAGAAGGGATTGTAGAGTTTGTAGCTACAGTTCGTGTTTGACTTGCACCCCAGCTGAACCAAGAGGTGCGTCGAGACTGTTTTTTGGGTAGGTACTGATTTTCTAGCTTTTGTAAAGTTAGGTAAGGCAATTGTGTTTGAAAGGCGAGTAAACTGACGATAGAAGGAGCAGTTACTTGCCAATTGCAATAACGTCCATTGAAGTAAACAACAAGGCTGGGATTAGATAAAACAGCGTTAGGATCACGTATAAATTCCTCATAGGAAACTATATGCTCTAGAAACTTCTCTTCAGAGCAAGGATTATCTGGAGACAAACCACCACATAGTGAAAGTCTTAAACTTAAATCAAGGGGAAAGATAGGTGACATGCTTCTTGGAGAGTGTTCATTGTCGGAACGATAACCGTAATCAACACAGCTGCTTTCAGTAGTGTTATATGACCCTTGAGACTGAGATTGAAAATTCCCGTGACATGGGGGATATATATACACCTCTTTAACATTTTGATCGACTTCCGCTGTAACGAGTTCTTCTAGGTACACTTCTTTTTCGTGCGTAAAATCTTTTAGATGCGGCTCTTGCACATCACTTTTTGAGACGTCTTTAGGGAAACATAAACTGCTACTAGATGATTGACATTTCTTTATATCCCAATCATAACTAAAACTGTTCTCAGTATTTTTTGAACTTTCATCCAAAAGGCTGTCAGAAGTAAATTTATCACCAGCGGAATTCCGACACTTTCGAGAGTCTCTGACCCTATCACTTGAGGACTCACAATCAGATGAGACTTCATAGCTAGTTCTACATTCTTCATCTATATCCTCTTCTATCAAGTTGGACTCCGTACCCGGTTCACTCATTGCAGAGTCTCGTCGAACTTTGCGTGAATGACGTCGTACAGGAATCTCAGACCATGAGTCATCATACGTGAATCCCGGACAGTCACTAGAATCACTCGCTAAGAACTCATCTGCCGTGGAACCTGAAGAGTCAACGAAGTATGCATCCCCGGCACTTCCTAAAGACATCCGTAGAAAGTTGACGAATTCACCGTTAACATAGATCTCAACAGTCTTATCCGTTGGAGAGAAAGCTGTTAGTTTCCCAAACCTAACATGAAATGGTCCACAAGTAAAGGATCCATCTTTCTGTTCGACAACAATTACATCAATAGCTCCAGTTAATGTTGCAGGATTGATATCGTTGTAAGCTCCTTTAATTCCTGATAACAACCGCCCTAGAGATTTCCTTAATATAGATTGCGGAGAATAGTTAGAACTTTAAACTTACCATGACATTATTAGCGTTAATTATATTGCCGGCTGCTTTGTATTAGGCCTACGAACAGCTTTAAGTCAGATCTTCAACTTGATATAAAAGACAGCGTCCCTGGTTCTTTTTGATGGAATATTGCAGATTGCTAGTATCGAAATCATAACAAGAAGTTAGTTATAAATAAGATCCTTGAAAGATTCAGTGACAGACTGCCATATAAGGCGTATCACCTAACCACTGAGTACGGAATTCCTGGGACCCTATTTCTGAGCCAGGCGCCTGTGGGTGTGTGCATAAGTTCCAATATCCAATATCTTTTTCGCGAGCCAGTGTCAACCATTTGATTTCTTTGAGCTCGGTTCTTGTTCTTTCGGTACGGTTCCAGGTGTTCGGAAATGTCCAATGTATAGAGGTCTAGCCACTCGACTGTCTAATTCTAGTCAGTTGGCATTTGGTTATGAGTTTGTTCGTCTCGGGATTTGAATGAAAACGTTTGTTTCAGGGAAGTAGGGTTTCTGGATACCATTAGCAATCACATTACCAGACCGGAGATCAGTTAGTTGCAATGTGGAGAGTAATAAGGATAATAAGGATAAAATTCTAATGCTAATATGAACAAAATTTCAGAGCTGAGTAATATATAGATGAATTTAGTTTGTTAATTGGTAGTGAAGATTGTGAGAGAGGACCGTAATGTAAGCAAGGAGGAGGGAACGGAGATGATAGGCGAGGTAGATCAATTGAGTGATCTGAGGAGATGGCAATGATAACAACTAGCAGGTCTCCAGATATGCATCATGAACAGCTTGTCCAAGAGGGTGATGATAATCCGTATGTGAGTACGTGATTATCAAGTCTCTTCTTAAAGCTGTCTACTGAGGGGACTGTGGTCACCTCGGCTTGCAGAGCATTCCAAGTTGCGACGACTCGCAATGAAAAAAGTGTGCACGAATCTGAGTATTCGCTCTTTGATGTGCAAACTTTTGAGGATTGCCTCGAGGGGAGTGGTGGTGATGCATCAGTAAGGTGCTCACTTTGGGATGGTTTAGTGTGCTTAATATGTTGTACGCCATAGTCAGATCACCTCTGATTCTCCTATAGCTCAATGGAAATAATCCCAAGTGCTGGAGTCTACCGTGGTAAGGATTATTTTTTAACCATATCACCCATTTGGTTACTCGTCTCTGCACATGATCCAAGAGACTTAAGTCTCTTCCATTGAGGGTATAGGTCGTTTGCATCATGTGAGCCAGGAAATGCATGACGTAGCACTTCGTTTGGTTGAGTTTTAAACCGTTTTTCACTGCCCATTTCTCAATAGATGTAAGGTCCTTTTGAAGCTCAGTCGAATCCTCATCGCCTCTAATGGACATCCAGATCTTCGCATCGTCTGCGTAGATCAATGTCGGTGAGCCAAATAAGCCTAACAGGTCAGTAATAAATATCAGGAATAGAAGTGGGCCTAGGATGGTCCTCTGTGAAACTCCCTATGTGGATACTCGCCGGCTTGCGTGCACTCTATTTACCTTGGTGCGAAACTTTCTATTCTCAAGGTAGTTTCTGAGCTAAGATAGGAGTGGGTCGGTGAAGCCCATTTCCACAACTGTTTCGATTAGGTGTGGATGGGGGATTGTGTCAAAGGCTTTTGCAAAGTCAAGAAATATTACGTGCACCGGTATTTTTCGGTCCAAACAGGATGTCCAACTGTCCGATGAATGTAGTAGTAGTAGTATGTAGTATGTAGTACTTACTTCAGATCTTTACACTGAAGACAGATGGATGATACTTTGGGTAAGGCCTTTATATAGTAAGCTCCAGTATCTGCAGTTTTTTCGTGAATCAGTCTATTTGGAGTGAGGACATTGTCATAAGAGAGATGTTACGGGGTGTAGGAAAGGTTTGGTTCTGAGCAATTTGGTCTCGCGTGCTTTTACGGGTGTGAGGGCTGATGTCACTTCCCGGCTGCCCACACCGTGGAAGGGTATTTCTTGGGGAACCTGAAAAGGAAGATAGATTGGTGTTAGTCTTGACGACCTGAAAGCGTGACAGAATAGTCCCAGGGACAACTGCTCGACATGGGTCATGCACGGTATTTTTGTGAGAGGTTTCTAAAGGATCGGCTGTGTTTTTGTTTAAAAGGCCTTACCGCCGAAGACTGAAGCCCGTGAGGAAAGTTGGGGTGTGACATTTTTAGGGTCTGAAAGCTTTCCGAAAAACTCAAATTTTACCTCATCTGAGCCGCATTCATAGAGACCTGAAAGCTTGAATTCAGAGTGCAAGGGACAACTGCTTGAGGCTGGTCACGCACAGTCTTTTTATTGGAGGTTTGTAAAGTGTTAACCTCGCTTTCCAGGTCGCCCTATCACTGGAGACGGGAATCCATGAGGTAGGGGAGGTGTGACATTTTTGGGGACGACCTTTTCTAGCCCTTCCTTCCTTGTGTGAAGGCAGCATCGCTGAAGATGCTGGTTGTCCATGGAAAACACCTTACTGCTGTCACGCCCCTCTACTGTCAGCAGTACGACTTCGCCCTCAGACCTTGGGTAGCTGCTTTTAGTCTCATCTTTCCCCAATCGATCTGCCTGGCATCGTAGAATCTACAGGAAAGTATGTACCCGGTAATATAGCTCTGCTGGGTCATCAAGATAGGCATTCCCTACCACCATGTCTAGTTAGCAGCTACAGCCGGGGTTAGTGTTAGGGGGGAGCAGTAAATCCATCCAATCAAGTCTTTTGTGACAGTTGTGTGGAAACAACACCAACATGATTCGGCTACCTCAGTTAGTTAGGTGTCGTGTAGCAACTCAGCTTTTAAACGGCTGTTTATATATAGCCACTCCGCCTCCTGTATGGTGTACCCTGTAGCATCGAAGAAGTTTCTTGCCTTGCGAGCTCACTTCGTCGTCTACAGTGTCGGTGGATAGCCATGTTTCAGTTAGGGTTGTGAGCTTCGGATCCCTCCGAAAGCACATATTCATGATTTCCAATAGCTTTCCCCTTAGCCCTCTTACTTTGCTATAGTGGTAATTGGTTGTTTGTCTGATAACCTGGTGTAGCTCTGCTGAAAACCAGTTGTTTAAACCGAATTCCAGTTCTGCGGGAATCGGCCTTTGCAGGTGTTTCGCCCGGGCAGTGCATTTGATCGACGAGACTATTATCTTGTGCTGGCGGTTGTGATCAGTGTCAAATGTCGATTCTTTTGCGTTTATTCTGACCCTCTTGCCGTTGACTCACAGATCTGGATCGGCTTTTGCAACACCTGATGTGGCTAGAGAGATCCTTCTTCGATCTGTATCAAGACAGAAGCGCCTAAGTTAGCGCTTCTGAATTTCTGAATTCCACAGGCATAAGACGTGGAGACTTGATAGTCGTGAGGTGTGACGAACGAGGCAGCCGGGAATTGATAGTTGCCATGGTGGCGCGACGCTCAGGCCACATGATAGTCGTCGCCACTGTTGCGCGCCATGTGAGTAAGCTTCATATAGGCCACCACCAACTCTGTCGGTCCGGACTGAGATTTTCGACTTCACACTAACTCCGGAATTCACGCCTCTGCTGATTTTCCTAGTCGTTATGATGTAATGTAATAAACATCATGCCTGAGAGATCTAACGATGGAAAACGAGACAATATGATTAGGAAAATACGCAAGGTAGAAGTTTTGGAAAGAGAAAGATCATAATAATAAATATAAACTACGAAAGACTAGAACCTGAAAGTCACCCAAAATTGTAATTTTGCTTTCGACTGTCCTAGTAACTGACTTCACGTAGATCCAGTAACTTTTCCACAAGTCCTGTGTATGCTGCTGAAGCAACTAGGAAGAGTAGTTGATCGAGACAACTGGACCTACGGATTTGGAATAATTCCGTCTGTCGGAATTTTCGCTCAGATTGTCTACCAGTGGATGGAGACGAATCTCATATCTTTGGGAAGGATTAAATATCACAATCTGGCGTCCAAAACCGTTAATGGTGGGAGGTCAACGAGAGCACGTCAATTCCGAAGTTCCCGCATTACTCATTTCATTGGTAGCCTTAAGGATGAACTAGACAGCTTACCACATCAAGGCTTTAAATAAATCGGTAAAAATCCTTTCCTGTGTTTTAGGAAGGAAGAAAGAAGGGAAGGGAGGAAGAAAAAAGAATTTCTTAAGGTTCAAATTATCTGCTTACAATCTTTTTTTGAAAAATCGAAATATTGTTAAGGCTATCTAATTATGATAGCAGAAGTGGATCTGTATCATCACTAAAGAGTAATGAGACTGGTAAAATATCACGAGTGTTGTGAATCTGATTGATATGTGGAAGGAGATTATTTTTCACTACAGGGAAAAAGAAATGATAAATCTTGGCTAAATCTGTTCATGATATATCATAAGTTAATCACCTCCTGATTAACGGTAGGATAAAGTGAAGAGAGACCTATTTTTCCAAGTTGATCTTTTTACTAAAGGCCTGGCGTGTGAATAACTGATTATGAAATGATTCAATGAATTGATTTTGAAAGATCAGGGGACCTTTTAAAATAGAAGCTGGGGAAATACAACTGATTTTATAGCGCGTATCTATAGACAGCTATTAGAAAAACGGTGATTATAATTTCATATAGCTTTTCTATTTAAAACTTCCATGCAAATGTCACGAGATATGCTTACCGTCCAGGCTTCTGAAAGTGTTAAAAGAAACTGGGAAGCATTGTAGTTCACTCATGCGCAGAAAAATTCAAAGACAATTTCGTGCTGATGAATATATTTAGGTGCTAAACGCGATTGTAATAACTGTTTTATCATAACCCACTCATCAAGCTGCTTGCGGTACGTGCTTAATATTAACACCTCATTAATCCCCTCAGCTGCATGAGGATTCAAAGTTACTATTATCAGAAGAATTACTGAAAAGCCAACGTATTCATTCACGAACGAAAGTATCACAGTTTAAATCTTGTGTTTTTCTTTTGTTTTAGCCACCTGATTTAAGTCCGGTCGGTTTACTTTCGTTTCGCCATTGCTGGCTTTTGTCTGGATTATGTTTCTGCATTCTAGGTAGGTAAGTGTAGAAGATTCACTTGTTTAATTTTGTATTTTGTTCGTGTATGTATTTTATACCAGTTTTAACAGTCATAGTCCACTAGTTATCCTCGGACTTAACTGTCAATAGGTTGAGGGTATTCTCTCTTGCTTAACATTCCAAGTTTGAGTCATTGCTTGACTCGTTGTAAGTCATGCCGTCCAACTTAAAGTACATTTGCACGTTGTATTTAACGTGGGTTTAGAATTCAGTTAAATATTTCTCTGTCACAAAGTATGCTTGCTGTCGTTCGGGCCATATGATATGTACTATCATAATGGGACTTCTAGTTTTTTATTTTCCTGTGAAGTCTTACGGAAAGTATTGGCTAATTTGTATTGCAGTGAGTATTTTGAATGAGGCTGTTATGATTCAAATGATCTTGTGAATGGTTTTGCCATTACATGGCTTGTTTTATTATCCTAGCAGTGTTTGTACATTGTGGAAATTTTTCTGATACTCAACTGTGTAGCTAATTATAGTGAGAGAAAAAAGCGCAATATGTAGTTTCTAGTGTACTGATAGGAATGCTCTTTGGTGCTTTTCGATTGTGGAATGCAGATAAAACGGTTTCTTACACAACTGGCTAGGTTATCCATACCACACACTGTTTTTCATGCATGACTCAATTTAATCACTAGAACTAAATGAATAAACTAGAAATGAACACACATTTACTGAGAATGCAACGAGTTAGATTCACTCACTCTGTAATCAGCTCCCTTCATAACTGCTCTTCGAGCTTATTTCCCACTATCGTTTCTACAGCTATTCCTATCCTATTGATACTCATCCTCTTAATTTCGCCTAGTGCTGATACGTGGCAACTCAGTCCAGAGCATATATCTGTTACGTCTTACGTCGATTACTGTCTAATCGACTGTGATGGCACGCTTATGGTGTTTAGATGAGATCGCTAAACATGTTAAGTGGTGGTCAATTAGTTCTCAGTTGCCTAAACGCATTTGTTTCCAAAATACATTGACTTCACTAACTGAAGTACTCAGTCCTCATTTACCATTTACCTAACGTATGATTAGTGTATAGTGTATTCAGATAGTTTCGATTTTTCATGTATTATTATGATGCAACTTTTCAAGTCAGGTTGACTTGTCTTTTGACTATGTCAATATTGTGTTTTCACTCATACCCTGTTCTAGCGTCTAAATACTACTTCTAGATTTTACAGATGTGTTCCACAACTTGCAAGCATGTATTTGGTTATTGGGCCACAAATTCAAAAGCCTATACTTTGCGTGGTTTCTTTGAAAATCAAGAATATAATATGAATTTCAGCAGACGATGTAGAACCTTCAAATACATAATTCTTGACTTACATTTGGTGTGATGCTTCTATGAAGTCCATGACGAATCTCGCCGTAGACATTAATATGGCTACTTTTCTCGATGATAACCAATGCCACTTTAAGGAAGTATAAATCGGGAGTTAGGGATTTGTGTATACGTATAAAACCCTTTTAGGTTTGTTAGATTTAAGTGCTTCAAACATGTTGGAATATCAACTCCTTCCTCTCCATTGAATACTCGCAAAACGATGAGTACTATCTTACCAAAGTCCAGAGAACGGTAGCGGTTAAAATACTGAAGGGTTAATCCGGCGGAGTTAGACTATAAATCATCAGCAGCAACGTAGAACTTTGCACGTAAGTACAGCAGTTCATATTGCCACACCACATTAGCACAGAGATATAATTGTCAATTCAAATCCCATAGTAGTAGAGGTAGTAAAAGTATTAGAAGTAATCGGAGAGATAAGGGTTCGAAGATGTTATTCAAAAAGTATAGTTCAGTGGGTTAAATTTAGAGGGAGGAAGATAAGTGATGAGGAATTCAGAAGGTTAGAATTTCATAGAACACAAAGAGTAAATACACCTGTGCCATTGCAAACGATTTTGAGCCATGTCATTCAGGGTCTCTAACCATCGATCATTATCATCTCGCGGACCCAAAGCAGGTAGTCGACACCTACCGACATGACTCAGTCCACTTGTCAGTGACTTCATGGGTTTCTGCCATGTTTTGGTTTGGCCGCTCCTAGCTTTCGTCCAAGCTCTTCCTATATCGCAAAACAGCTCGACGAGGCAGTCGGTGGTTGGTTGGGCCTACGTAAGACATGTCCCAACCACCTCAACTGATGAAGTTTCAATACTTCATCAATTGATCTGCCATGCTAGGTAACTAGCACCCGTTTCCAAACAACAGCATTGCTTACTCGGTTGTCCTTTGTTACACAAGCAATGCTTCGGATACGCCTATGATCAAACATCGTTAACCTCCGAATATCCTCTGCTCTTACCGACCGTTCCGCCTCCATATATTAGGACAGAGCGAACTGCTGCGCAGTAGACTCGTCCTTTGGTTGGTAAATGGCTATCTCGCCTACGCCATAAATGACGCAAGTTGGTAAAAGCCAATCGAGCTTTCTGTATCTGTGCTAAGATTTCGTCAGTCACCAGGCCATCAGCACTGATAAAACTCTTGAGATAAGTGAAGCGGTCAACAGACTCAACTGCGTCATTCCCTATCACTAGTTCAGGTGTTGATGTAACCTAATCCTGAAGCAATTTTGCATTTCAAGGGTGAGAATCGTATCCCGAACATGCTTGCATTGTTGCTCAGGGTAGTCAAAAGATTGCATTTTGTCGTCTTCACCAAGTTGAACTATTTCATCGGCATATTCTAAGTCTACAAGCGAGTCTCTTGGTAGAGGGTCCACCAGTGAGGAGTCAGACGAAGATAACGTTTTATCTAAAAGCATGTCTTTGACAAGAAATAGTGGACAGCCCTGGCGGACACCACTTGAAGTAAAGAATTCCGTTAACAGTTCGCCATAAGCTCTCAGTCGCCCATTAGTGTTCGAGCGGAGATCATGTGTAAGGTTAATGTACTTCTCTGTACAAATTTCAGTGACAGACACTGCCGCAGAATTTCACGATCAACAGAGTCGTATGCCGCTTTAAGGTTGAGAAATAATACTTTTGTGGGATGTCTGAACATGTGGCTTTGTTCTAGGACCTGAATATCCGGTTTGCTCAGCCACGTCCAGGTCTGAAACCAGCCTGGTTTTCTCGAGCCTGCTCTTCACGAGCTCTAGTGAGGCATCTAAGTATAATCGAGACTAAAAATTTAGATAATATATATTGGTTAGGCTGATTCCTTTGTGATTGTCAGAGGAGGACTTTTATCCTTCCTTATAAATTAGAACAATGAGGGGTTGAGGTCAGTCAGATGGTATTACGCTCAGTTCCTAAATTCTACCTGAGATCTCAGTCAACCTAGCTGCTAACACGACCACCATCCTTCAAAATCTCAGGAGTTAGCCTAACAGGACCCTCTGCTGTCCCTCCTTTTAGATTTTCTAAAACTTTCTTAAGGAGTTGGAGGAATTACATCGATTTGCCATTCACGTTGACTGGAGATCGTGGTTAACCGAATTGTGGCTGAGGGTCAGTTAAACTGATCCCTGAAGTGCTCTGCCCATCGATCCAGTCTCGAGGGTTGGGGAAGAATAATAAGCACACCTTTTCCTGAGAAAGTCTCACAGTCGGTTCCCCTAATACCAGTTTCCTTGATAAGTCTAAGCAGCTGCCTAATGTTGCCTACCATCGCTGCCTTTTCCTTCTCTCTCGATTTCTCTACCCACCACTGTTCGCCTGCGCTTAAGCTGGCTCCGCTCCTCATTGTACTCAGGGCCAGACGGGATGAATCCTCGAGTATCAATCAGTTCGATAGATGCCACTGAGATCCTCCTCTCCTCCCTAACCTTATTGTATGCCATACTAATAAATATCACTGCTGTTTCCGCAGCTTTTTGGAAATCAGGTACAGCATCACTTACATGGCCATCTAACTGTTTTTCTAGTTGTTCTTGAAATATATTCTTTGCTATGCCATTTTTAAGTAGAACCCTAAGGGGTTTTCTTTCTTTGTCTTCCCTACGTCCAGTAAGCCGCAAACAAGTACGCACTCGCGCCAGAGCATGGTCTGAATGTAGACATGTGCTCTAGGATGAGCGGCAGTCTTCAATGGAGTCTCTCCACCGATGGCTAACAGCAGTGTAGTCTAGTTGGGTCAGCTTTAGGGGTCGCTAGGTCGAGATATTTTTTCTCATGCCTGCAGTTAGTGTTTGCTAGAAATGGATGATTTTCTGAGCATAGCTGCAGTAGACGGTTGCCATTATCTGACCTTTGAGTCATGACACCGTAAGATCCACCCAGGTGTCTTTCACTGAGTCTACCTACTTGGACGTCACCAGCCATTGTTATTACATCAGAGCGCTTAACATTTCGAAGAAGCCTGGAAAGCTTTCCGTAAGACTCATCTCATCCGAGCTACAGTCAGTGGGAGCGTAGGCAGAGACGACAAATAGGTAACGGCGAGTTTCCCTATCTTTACGAGTCCTTACTGCGCATAAGCAACTGTCTGCTGGGATCCAGTCTAGAGGAGCTAGTTCTGCCTTAGGACTTAATACTATACCTACACCAGCAAGGCCACGGGAAGCAGCATCAGGTCCTCCAGATATACGAAGCCTAAACCGAAGCGAGTACCAATATCTTTAAATCTTTTGTACAATTGATGTGTACATTCGGGGTAAGCTTCCCACTATGCAGAATAAAATCAGTGTTTTCCTGCACTTTCTGATAGCTTCAGTAGCTTTAGATTTTTCTCTTCAGTCAAGTATATTCGACTTATCAGAGACACATTTCTTGGTGAATTGTATTTTTATGTACATGTTTAGTTACTAGTTGAATGGAATTCCAGTAAAATTTAGGTAACAAGTAACAGATGTGTAGTGTTTCAGAAGGCTGAGTATATTCCGGAGAGCGCATTTGGAAGACAATCACAATAACCTTTTTCCTACAGAAAAACCAGTAATACTTGCGGATGACCATAATCTTTTGTCTAAATATTTTTTTAGACGTTAATAAAATGGATGATAAACATGCAGTCACTTTTTTAAACAACTCAGAACCTGGCAAATATGTACGTCAGTATAAGCTACTATTACGCAAAAACAAAATTGACAAAGTCAAAGTGGTTGAGATAATGATCTCATTGGAAGTGATGTATCGCTAAACATGAAAAATAACCTTAAAAGTATAATCTTAGTACTGCCTGAGATTTAGTGGTTGAATAAATGTCTGCATCATTGTGATTGATTGTAAATCATGAGACCTAAAATTAACTATAGATTATAACAATTGAGCTGATCTCGTGGAGGGAGTCTATATTTCCATTTATTCCAATATTTGATGATGCCATAATTGTGTTTCGTTTTATTATTTCTATCCCTTGCTCATTATGACCATATCTAGTGGTCAGTTTCGCTATTCAAAGTAGGTTGTGGCAGGATTGTCTAATAAATTTCAAAACCAACCCACTCAGTAAAAGTTCTTGATCAAATTAACCAGTTTACTATCCATGTCTAGTAGCCTACGTTTAACCTCAGTACTGCTTATTCGCCTGTTCCCTTGTGTTTAAGCGGTATTTCGAAGACAATCAAGTACTAAGAATTCTCATTTTTAACCTTCAAAGGTTTTTTGCTAGTGGCAGTCAGGTATTAAGTCGGTCTACTAGTTTGGGCTAATTCAACATATTTTTGTTACTGTATAGTATTAAAACGATAACCGAATTAGCATATAAAGGATGTTGGGTCATGAGTTCGAACCCCATTAAGCAGATAAGCTGCTTCACTATCCTTAAAACATGGCGTACGACCCGATATCTACTGGACTAGTTTTGGCTACCTGGTTGTATATATATATATATATGTTTATATATATTCGTTAATACAACTTTTAGACTCAGTCAAGCGAGTTAATCTTCAACCTTTTGCAAATGTCAAAATAAATTGGACAGAGCACCTAGTTTTGAAATTCACAAGTCGGCCATCTTAATGAAAGCTGTTCAAAAGTAAAACTAGTAAAGGATTTAGAATCGATTTCCTATCAGCTAAGTAAACAGTTACTAACAGTAAGCAAACTGTTCTAACCTGATTGAATTTATATTTAGTTAACGTCGCCCTTGGGAAGCGTCGTTAGTTGGGTTATCTTCCACTCTTTTGACTGATGATCAATATGATTCCTAGCAATTCAGATTATGTAGCCAGTGAATTGTACCTCAACGGTTGGGACATGTGTTACGTATGCTCAACTACCGACTGCCCCCATGAGCGACGTTTTGTGAAGTGTGGATAGGCTGCAAAAAAGCTAGGGGCGGCCAGACCAAAACATGGCACAAATACATTAATTAATTAACAACTAGACTGAGTCATATTAGTAGATGTAGGTTACCTGATTAGGTTCCACGAAACAATAGTAACCGATGGTTACAGACTTTGACTTTGCTCAAATTCGTTTGCAATGGCACAGGTGCATCAACTCTTTGTGTTCTTTCAGATCCTAATCTTCTGAATTCCTTGTCATATTTATCTTTCTATTTTTAAATTTATTTCAATGGATTATACTTCTTGAATAATTTCAAACGCTAATCTTCTCCATTACCGCTAATACTTCTACTACCTCCGCCCTTATTAGATTTGAATTGACAATTCGATCTCTATGTGCTAATGTGGTATGGCAATTTGAACTAATGTACGTACGCACGAAGTTCTACGTTGTAGCTGACTGGTAATGGTTTAGACGCCTTGTCTTTTTCACTACTGTTTCGGCATTGTTACTTATTATGGTCTTCAGGGTTGCGGTTTGATTGCTCAACGCATAAGGTAAGCCATCACATTTCAACTTAGGTAGAATTGATTGCTTTCGCAGACGACAATAATTGGTAGTATCATAGAACGTACATGACTATGTGGCGTTCTTTCAAAACTAAAGCTTGTTTTATTTATTGGAAATATCACTGTATGTTCGTTTGTTTAGTGTCGATGCTAAAGCCAGTTATACAATGCATAGCCTATTGAATACATCAGATTAACAATCGCTGTTGGTTTCAGTCTGTGCGTCAATTTATGTAAAGAAATTCGTTTATATGAAACTGACATGATATACCAAAGAGGAAAGTAATAAACGTTGAGTTTCCAATCTAGGTTTTTTTTATATCTAAACTACTAACTCTTGGTTTACGAAAAATACAATTTCTCCTGTATATCGCTTAGATCTAATAGTACGTGCAGTACATTGTGATTTCAATTCCACATACTACGGTCCACGTTTTCATAAAACCTCGGCATGAGTTTTAGGCAGGTTCATCTTTGAGGTTGTTGCAGTCAGATTTTTTATTCGATTTAAGCCTTACTAACTAGTTAAAGGCCAGGTTAAATACACATCAAATTTTGAGATCATAACACTACGAGGACTAAAATGTGTTTTCAAGTAGTTCCATCACGAAAATTACAAATTACTGAGTTTTGATGGTGTCTCGTTGACAAACAGTTGAAATGCTTTTAATGTATTTGTAGGATTGTTTTTACGACCACTTCTCGTTACGGTGGTGGTGTTTGGTTCTCTGAGCTTAGAGAACCAAACACCACCACCACAATCATCCACCTGAGCTGCAAATCTTTTCCACTTCTGGTTACGTCCTTAAACCGTCTGCCACTAGTACACAGGAAATAATTTTATCTTAGTTTAAAGGTCTTGAGATCATATGAAATCGGAGACATTTGATTAAGAAATATTGTGAAAATTCTCAACAGATTCGGGAGACATGGGAACATCATTGAATAAAGTATTCAGAGTATCTACCTTCTCAATCCAATCTTAGCGTGAAAATCTAAGTCATGCCGGTTTGTTCGATAACAGACACCGTCAATTTTGTGCTCCTTGAATTGCAGTGGGCGTTTGATCTGTTAGTTTTACTATGTCTCTAGAGGCGCCCCGGTCAACGTGTTTGGTTGGTTTAATGCGCGGAAATCCTAAGTGAAGCCACGTTTTATTGGAAATGAGTGTAATATCGGATGCCATATCTGACTGAGGACGAATAGGTTTACCATTCACTAATAAGTTGATATAATTCCGTTTGCTCTGGAAACCAATTTTAAAAGTAGCAAGCGTACGTGTGATTTGACTTTGTGAACGTTGCTTCGAACTCCAGCTACTGAATTTTGTCTGGCATTTGTTTGATGGACAGTGACCTGTATGACCAGTACTATGATATTGGCGGCATTTGCGATTCTTCAGCGGGCATAATTTCACCAAATGCCATGCTCCGCAAAACCAGCATGACGTCGGTGGCATGTCAGCTGGTCTACGTATGTTTGTTGATGTCTTTTATTTGGAAGGTTTTGAGGATTTACCGAGCATTTACCGACCCGAAATCTTTTTTTCGTCTACTGTTGCACCATCGCTGTATCATGTTTAAGATTCAATAACCGTTGACGTTTGACTGTAAGTCAGTACGCATTGGCATGGTGGTGCGGATGTCAGCATCTTCAACATTCTTTAATCTGCAGGAAAAGATCAAGCATTTAGATTGATCCGTCGTAATTTCATTAATTTTAAAATGTTCACATTGTTGGTTAACTTTATTAGCATACGTAAGATAATCATCGGATAGAGATTTTGTTATCTGAAAACACTGATTACGACCACTGAATAGTGAGGACTGTTCTCCAAAAATTTTAGACAATATTTAAGCTGTATCAGCAAAGCCTAAATCCCGAAAATATTGTGGCATGCAAAAACTCGCATATTTGTCATATTCGCATGTTCCAAGCCTTTTCAAAAGTAAGCGAATTTTAGCTGCATCGTTGAGATTTGAGCATTCAACACGAAGTATTTCTTCAAAACGATAAAACCAGGAATCGAATATGATATCACGTTCATGATCATAGTTGAATTCACTAATGGAATTTACGATACTTTCACATTTATATATCTGGAAGACTAAGGTGGAAATCAAGCAGGAGCTTTTGATTCAGTACATCCAAAAACTTCATTTCATTTACATCACTCAGTTCTTGCAAATTTTTTCCTGAGTAGTTTTGAGGTCTTCCAAAGTGATTGACATTTTTTGGAGCAGGCAGACAAGTGAAAAAATTTCCGTCGCCACTATTTTTACGTTCTTTAACCGTCTGTCACTAATACACAGATAATTTTGTCTCGAAATAGTTTAAAGGTCTAGACGCGATAGGCTAATTAACCTTAAGACCAGTAGCACGTAAGTTCAGTTGTGGCTAAACAGCCTTGGTAGCGAGAGAGAGAAGACAAATCGACTGGAACACCTTTCAATTTATTCCTGATTTGATTTATGAAAAAAGACATGAAAAAGTACATACTTTGCGAGACCACAATGCACAGGGATTTAGAAAAACTAGTCGTTTAGGATAGAGAAACAGAGTATGAGGTTACGCCTAAGATGGAATCTATATTCATGGCATCCATCAGTTACATGCCGTCTATCAACATATTTATCCTATAAATGTAAAAATCTAATTCTATTAAAGTGTAAAAGCGTTTGTCCTATACACAACTTTCTGAACCTAATGTCCATATCCTTCAAGCCACTAACAGTATATTGACAACATAGGCCAAGTCACTTGCATTGTTTTTATTGGATACAGTTGACCATTTTAAAATGTCAATCATGTAACGGTGATTTTTAACTGATAAGACGATTGTTAACGTTATTTCCATAGTGTGCTTCAGTACTTTGGCGTTAGCTGTCACAATAAAAAAGCAATGTGTGAAGTTGCTAATTTGGCTACGTAAATTGTTTTTATGATTGAGTATAATTGTCACATTCGTATTATAAAATGAGAGTTGCCACTTTATTGTTCAACAATATTCGTTATTTAGTCATCATTAACATGAAGGACAATGGGTTAGAAAAAGTTATAAATAATTCTGACCCATGAGAAAGTACGGTGCAGTTTCTGAAAGCAGTGCCTCAATTTCTTTATTGAGTAATATAAATCTCATCTGAATTTTTTAGATTCTCCCCAATGCAATGAGCTCTGAAGCAAATCTTGATTCTTCTAATTCCATTAAATCAGAACCTCATGCTGCTAAGTCTCATTCTTCGAAAATTACTACCAACCAGCTGGAGTATATCAAAAAAGAGGTGGTCGGACGACTATTTAAAGAAAAGATAGTATGGCCGTTTACAAAACCGGTGGATCACCAGCGACTAAACCTCCCAGTAAGTCTGTTTCTCAGATAAACACTATTCCTAGGACTATCCCAAGATTATAAAGCATCCCATGGACCTTGGTACGATAAAACAGCGGTTAAACTTAAAATTTTATCACTCCTCTTCGGAATGTCTTGATGATCTTTTTACCATGTTCCGAAATTGTTATATATTCAACAAGCCAGGTGATGATGTAGTTGCAATGGCAATGAAACTTGAGCAGATCGCTAGAGAACGCCTTAAATTTATGCCGACTCCTGAGACTGAAATATGTCCACAAAAAACCCCAAAGTCAATCCGTCCTATTGGGGCTCCCTTACAAGTCCATCCTCCCATCGAACCTATCCATACAACTGCTTCAACAAACCATACTGAAGGGTTGAATGGCTCAGCTGTTTCTGTTGATCAGGCTACGTTACCCTTCAGACCGTCAGTAACTTCAACATCTACCAAAAAGGCTAGTAAAAAGAAAAGCGATTCTACAATAGACGAATTACCGTCAACCCCTCAATCATATGATGATCTATCACGCGATCGTCGTCAAATCAAAAAGCCCAAGCGTGAATATGAAGAACGTAATGTTGGCAAACGTTTACGACTTTCCGAAGCATTGAAGGCTTGCAGTAATATTCTAAAGGATATTTCCTCTCAGAGATATCGGGTATGCGTTTGTAGCATTTTGAGCTATTATTTATAGGATCTCAATCATTTTTTTTTAAAACCGGTGGATGTCGTGGCCCTTGGACTTCATGACTACTACGATGTCGTCAAAAAAGCAATGGATCTTAGCACTATCAAAACAAAATTAGAGAGCGGTCAGTACCATACAAAATACGATTTCGCAGACGATGTTCGACTGATGTTTAATAATTGTTATAAGTACAATGGTGAAGATAGCGAAGTTGCAAGAGTAGGGAAGCAACTTCAAGCCATTTTCGATGAGAATTTCGCCAAAGTTCCTGATGATGAGTCAGATCCAGCCGCTTCACCTGATGGTCGTCCTATTGATCAGAATACGTATCAACTGATTCAGAATGCCATCAAAGAACATCAGAAACTAACTAGTCAATTTCAGCGTTTCAGCGAGGATTGGCAGAAAAGCACGGCCAATTTGAATTCAATCCTATCATCCTTAAGTATGGCTGTCAGAAAAGGTAGGTCACTTTCTCACTAATTATTTTTCCAGCACCTATTGGTCATAACACACCCCATGTTAATTCATTGCCACCTACTCAAACCGGCCTTCCAACTGTTCCACGTGCTATTATGAATGACATTGAAGATGTAAATATTACCAAGTAAGTATTTTTATATTCGAGTAACTTTTATTTTATTTTCAGGAGAGGCAGACAATCTCAATCCAAAACTAAATATCGACAATCAGGTCAGTTACATTTTTGTTTTGTGAAAGTAAACTTGTTGACCTTTTAGTTTCCTACCTTTGTTCATATATCACTTGTCACTTAATTTTTGAATCTCGCTCTAACATCAGTGTAGGCAAACTTCACTAAACATCATCGCACGTTCTGGTTGTTACTAAACGATGATACTTAATACTTATTCGAATAATTTAATCCGATGAAGATCCAATCACTTTTCCATCATTCCCTAGCATTCTACTTTTAACCACTTAAGTCTAGTTAGTCATCAGTTATTTGGGAAAGAAATCACGATTTGATAGTGATGACATTTTCATCGGGATTACTGTGTGGTCATAATTCTCGAAGAATGAGCCCGTTTTGTGGGACGAAAATACGACATTTTTTTCTATCGCACTAGGTATAATTCACAACATATTTTAGATCGATTTTAGTTATGAAGTTAACTTATATGCGTCACAATTATTAGTTAGTGCTTTTACAGATACTGTAATAAAGAAGTAGAAATGCACCTAAAAATAATTATCTATGATCATTAATAAAATGTGTTCAATTGTCTGTTCATTATCCTTTTATCCAAAAATATCATATCACTCGAAGTTCTGTCAACAAATGGTATACAAAATAAATACCCCTTACTTATATGTGTTGTCCCTTCTGGAAGCCGCCAACCAGAATTTTTCAGCCATCACTGTCCTGAGCTGCTCCTCTTTCCAGTTTTAGCCAAGTGTCACTCATTCTTTAATATCTGCCTCCCGTTCCCGGTGCAATGTGTTTTCCTTTGACCTTGATGGATCCGTGTTAGGGCTTGCCTCATGATGCTGTTGGATGCTTCTCGAAATGTGTCCTATCCACCTCCAACTGGAAGCTGGTTTTTTCTATGTTCTCCGTAACGTGTAGGTTGGCTCTAAACCTTTGACTCCACTTGGTGTCAAACTAATTGTTTCATAATTTAGTAGAACGGCAAAATGCATATAATGACATATTCACATGCTGTTTAACAAGGTAATTATATATCAGCCAGAAAACTACTGATATTCATGACTTACATTCTATGTTAGAATGTACATTAAAATTCCTGTATTCACTAGTGTTTTACATATTTAGATTTTGATTTCCATCTTTTTATTTTCACAGGACTAGCTACCACAACACCCGCTTTAAATACACCATGTGTCCCAGTTACTAGCACTGTAAACATGAGTGGCACACATTCCCAGCCTATGCCTGTTCCTGGATATGCTACAGATGAGGAAATGTCCGAAAACAATGTTCGTCCAATGACTTACGATGAGAAACGTCAGTTAAGTTTAGACATAAATAAACTCCCTGGAGAAAAACTAGGTAGAGTTGTTCAAATTATCCAGCAACGTGAACCATCGCACCGTGATTGTAATCCGGATGAAATCGAGATCGATTTCGAAACACTACAGCATACAACTTTGCGTGAATTGGAAAAGTATGTGAAGTCTGTTCTGCAAAAGACAAAATCTGGGAGTCGAAAGTATGTGAAGAAAGGGTTAAGTGGAATTCCACCAGGCAAGACACGTGAAGAGTGCATGAAAGAAAAAACGGAAGAATTAGAAAATCGGTTGAGAGAGATTGGCGGACTTCCTCAAGGTGCTCCTGGGTACCATAATGCACATAATCCAAAAAAATCACGTAGGTGCATTTTTATCATAACTATTATTGACCATTGTTATTTACCAACTTTTTAAATCAGTCTTCAAGTTTTTAAATTTTCTCTGTTACTTCTATCATTCTCTGTTTATTTCGGATTAAATTTGAACATTTACCAAATCTTCTTACAGTTCTGGCTTGTGAGCAATTTTTCGCTGATCGTTAATTCATTTACAACCAGACGGTTTTTATTTTTGTGTCTAATTGAACTATGCGTATGGTGTTTAAAGATGTACTCTCGAATTTTCGCACAACTTCAGATATTTTTCTTGGCGACCGTCAAATACTGCCAATTAAACGGTGTTTACTGGCTCACCGTAGTCACATTAGTCCGATAATTTTATTGTTTTAAGAATCACTACTTCTTTACGTTCAGACAGTCACTGGTAGAGTCATTCCAATGAATCAGTATTCTTAGCCCTGTAATGTTGTCAGTCCTCAGTATTTTCTAAACACAGATTTGCATAATACCTCACTAAAACTCCCGGTATGATATATGGACATATATTGGAACATGACTGTTTACGTGTCCTCGAAATGGTCTTTTTAATGACTTTTACGGAAATGTTAAAAAATAGTGACTCTCCTTTTGTTCAAGAGAAACGCAATGATTTTTTGTGGTTAAATCTCTCAATTATCAACCAGTTAATAATTCTAATCCGGTTTCTCATACTATAAATCAGACTGCCATTTTTTTAATCTCATGAATCGGTGTTTGAATTACAGGATGATATCATTTTGATTTCACAACAAAGTGGTCTTTTTTATTTTTCCATACATCAATCAATCATTTTAATTTTTGGCTATATATTGCGTTGTGTTCTCATCGTTTCAATGGATGTTCTAGGGATATTTGATTGATTAGTTTATTTTGCAGTACTACAAAACCTCAAGCAATGCATGTCACTTCATTTTTTTCAGATGCTGCTAATCGTCTCAGCGCATCATCATCCAGTTCAAGTGATTCCGAGAGTACTTCGGACTCAAGTGAATCTGACTCTTCAGATTCCAAATCTTATAGTGAGTCCTGATGAATTGCTACATTTGCAAACTTATTCCCAGTAATCGAATGGTGCATTCTTTGTCATCCAGTATTCTTTTTTTCTAAGCAACTTTACTACAGTATGGTTTCATTTTGTAATTTCTTTAAATTCTTATTTATTCAAAGTAAACTATTCTTTTTTAAAACTTACACGCACCTTTTTACTGCCAGCCACTGTGCTAACATCAAGTCAAGAATTTCACTTTTTTATGAGCTGAAGTCGTAAGGTTCCTATCAAGCACCAAATACTTCAGTACTTGATTTTTTTCGCCTCAGTGGCTTTCCTAATCTTTGTACATCAATTCTTGGTTTCTTATTATACACCACTATGTCTCCAACACATGGCGTTGTTTTCACCAGAAATTTGTACCTAATTCCCTTTTAATTGTTTGTGGTCCTGTGTATAAAAAGATCATTGAATGCATTTTTGTACAGTACTTAGCATGTAATTTTCATTTGATAAATTATCTGCTACTAAAGTGAAAGTCTTCTTGATGTTAGCACATTGGGTGGTAGTGTAGGCTAATTTGATTATATCCTAAGGCATGCCTTCCTGGTGTTCTTGCTATAATTTCAGAAGCAGCTTCAGACCACAAACAGTCGCATGACCAGGTATCTTCAACTGGCCTACAAAGTTATTCCAAGTCGACTGTTTCTTTATCCCCGAACTCAGGTGCCGTAACAGCTAAGACATCGAGCAATCAACCACCGACATTTTCTGCACTAGATTCTGTTGCAAGTGGTCACTGTAATAATGAAGTCATCTTTGCGAAATCTATTGAACCAAAGACTGAGCAGAATGAATCTTCAGATACAGAATCTGAACCAAACTCCCCTCATCAACTACCACAACCTGTCTGGTCCATTTCAGGGTTTTCAAAAAAACCATCTTCTGAAGATGGTACATTAGTTAAAACTGTCCCTACAAGTAGCTGTGCAGTCACATCTGCTTCTGAGGTGTCTTCTACAGTTGTCGCTGCTAGAATGCTGAATATATTACCTGATCCTGTTGAGGCAAGCGACCTTTTGCTGCCTAACTCTCAGCCTGGTAGAAATGAAGAAAAAGAGAAACAGGCGGCAGCACTTCAAATAATGCGCGAAGCTCGCAGACAGTCCCAGTGGAGTTCTCGCGCGGCTGAAGAAAAAGCTATTCGTGAACGTGAAGAGGCTGACAGGCGACGTCAGGAGGAGGAACTTGCTTTGGAGGCTGAGAGGAGAAAGGAGCAAGAGTTGCGTCGTATTGAGGAAGAGAAACGTCTACTTGTTGAAGCTCGAAAGCGTGATGATATCGCAAAGCGTAAGGTTAGTGTGGGGTAGTTTGGGAGAAACAATTTGGGTCATGTTTTAATAGTTCTCATATCGTCTGGTCATAGTCTGTTGCATGCATAATTTTGATTTGGTATAAAGAGTTGTAAGAATGATTTGTCGTGATTAAGATGTGTCGGTGTACTTCAAATCTCCAAGTTAATTTCGGGACGCATGCTTTTCTACGTCGTTAGGATGAAATGGCTGTTGATTATGTGAAAATAATCAACACATGATAAACAGACGTAGGTCTTATCTGTGTGATGATGTGTAAGTGAGGTTTCGGTCCCGAGTGACAACTGAATTTATAGTCCAAATTCACGTCTTTTGGTACTTTTGGGTGATTTTTCAGGTTGTCATTTGCACTTCGTTGGTTACCAACGAGTAAGCCTTAATACCAGCCAATTCCTAACCCGGAAGTAATATACTTGTTTTTAACGTGCAAACGCCCGTTAGATTCACTCGTTTTAGTGGTTGGCTAGATGTATGCAGTTCGTAGGGCTTAGAGTTAGTAAATCGTGAAGTTTTGTCTGTTGTACTCAAAGTATGGATTTTTCATCAAAAAGCTAAGTGTTATTAGTAATTGCGCACCTAAACATTTCATTTATAGATCGGTTCTAGGTAACAATACTTGAGTCAAATTATTGAGGAACGAGCCGTTTCACTAAAAAGTGTTGTTTTTCAGATTATGATAGTCTGTGTGTATATGCAAATAATCAGTTCTTGTTTTTTGCACTGGACGATTTTTTTTGTATCCTGAGGCATCAAAACTAAGCGTTTTTATTGAGATATTGCTCATCGAGAAGGGATAGTCAGACAATTAGTAGGTTATTATTTGATGTCCATTTAATTCCATTGTCTTCATGATGAATTCTGTGTGTAGTTTAGAAAATAATCATTTCTGAGTATTCGAAATGCTTATCTATTCGTTAGTAACTGCTAAATCAGTAAGTTAAGAATACACGATACTTTGATAATTTGTCTGATTATGTGTTTTATGTAGGGGTGAGTATCTGTTACATAGACTGTGAACTTATTTTCACTTGTGCTGATTTGTGTGAGTGAATGTTTAGATCCTTTAATTATGAAGTTGTTTATGCATGAATACTCTTTCTGTCCATCTTTTGGTGGTCTAGTCTTTTCTCAGTTAAGTACTATGAGTCTTAATAGAATTTTCTTTTATTTGATACTGTGAGAGCACAGTAAGTGCCTGTTTTTTAAGTGCTACTTTAATTCCCAGATAATGTGTATCTTGAAAAAGCAGCAAAACTAAAATTTGTGAACGGGCCAATGAAATTGAAGATAGGAAGTGTCGGCTTTCGGCGCTGAATTAACTTATCTATATAGTGAAATAGCATTTCCGCATGTAGAACTGATGTCAGTCGGTGATAGATATCCTTATCTTAATTCCTCGCACTGATTTTTAACCCTCTTGTCTTTAGTAAGTAGAAAAATGTTCGCTAGGTTAGTTTGTCATCGCTTGTAGGTCATCCATAAATTAAAGTTTCAATTAAGAAATTATTCAGATTTATTTTAATGTAATGCATTATTTTGATTTCCAAATGTGGATGAATAAAGATTTTTTTTGAACTTGCAATTAGGCTATGATCGGTGCACCAGAACGCATAAATGCACATGAATTACTGACGGAATTCGAGAATTCAGTTGATATCTCTTGCATCGATGCTTGTTTTGCCATGCGTCACTTTTGAAACAATACTATATCTCCTACGAAGATATACTTTTCCATCATACCTCATTTTCTGAAACGTGAAATAAGCAAATAATTTCTTTTTCTGTGGTCAATAAATTCACACATACCTTCTTCCGATAAATGGTATTTATTCACATTTTGCAGTTTCTTGTCTTAATAGACTGTTAACACTTTCTCTTTCTATATGTACATAACCAGATAGGTCTGTCATTTTTGTACTGGTTAATCAGTAGCTTCTGATCATTTGATATTCGAACAATTTTTGTGTATCCCTAAAGGATAAACTGCTACTAATCGGTTTCAATATGGTATATACAAATTGGAAAAGCTGTCAACCATGTTGCTACACTTGAGAATTGAACAGTGATAGACAAATTTGAAATTCCTTTTTATCTAACAAAATAAAAGGGACTTGTTTGCACTTTTTCTTACCCCAATGAAGTTAATGATGTGAATAATGTTACTCATATTTGTTTCACGGTTTATGGGATTATGCAGTTTCAGTCGTTGACTGAACACGATTCTTAACAACTAACAGTTTAGGTAACAAGGAAATCGAGAAATAAACGTTAAATCCCATTGACTGGTATGGATCTAGGAGTACAACCAATATAATGATGTCGCAAGTAGAATGAGGCGTTGACTGAGTTGACATTCTATGTTAGTCGTACTGCCAACATAAGCTTTGACCGTACTTCTGATTATGTCTTTAATCTGTTAGCACTCAGCTAGTCATATGTATTCGTGATAGGATTCGAAACAGTTGATGAACTTTTGTGAATAAATGAATAAAAATGGTATTGATAATAATGTCAATATTGTTCAAATATCAAAACCTGCGGCTACCACTGAAATGATAGAACTATCTTCAAAGTCGAGTTTTGTCTCCGCTATTACACATGTGAGTATTGTGTAATGATTTATGTCATTTGAAATAATATATTGAATCCTAATTGTCTGAGGTATGTTATGCAAAGAATCTGGATAACCTTGAGCAACCACGATCCCAATAAACATTTTTCTAGAGACAATATGTATGCGGAGATTGATCTTTATAGATTCTCAAGAACCAATGGGTAAAAATCAAAGATGAGTGTTTGGAAGTAGTCGATTTTTACTGCCGCGAAGTTTGGAACTTTTTTTATATCTAACACTCAAAAAATGATAGAAATTCGAATACTTCACTTCCATCTAAAGTTTGTGCTGATGATGTTGTTCAAAAGGACAATGAAAGCTTCACAACCAAAATATCCAGCTCAGAACGAAACACCACCACAATAATAGAAATCTCAAACGGACACTATCAGTGATATGGTGTTCCTAAGATGAAAACACCTGTAGGTTATGCATGTCTGTATGTTAGTATACGTTGTCTTAGAAATATATAGTGTATCGACCAACACATATATTCTAGTTTTTGTGCAAAGTAGTCAGATAACTTCAGAAAGAGGAAGATAGAGGTGATAAATTCTTAAGATTGGAATTTTAGAGAATACGAAGAGTGAATGCACATTGCAAACGATTTCGAACCATGTCGTCCAAGGTCTCTAACCATCGGTTAGTATCGTCTCGCGGACCCCAACCAGGTAGCCTAATCTACAATCATGACTCAGTCAAGTTTGTTAGTGACGTCATGGATTCTTAGTGCTGACCGAGTTGAGATTGACTATGATCACCACTAAATATTACATACTATCCCGCCACACAACATAGAAATAAATACATGTTTCAATGTTTATTTAAAGGAGAAAGCAGGCATGACATAAAGAGCAACAAGCTATGAAAAGTGGCAGCAACGCGAAAAGAAGGTTGCGCGCAAGAAATTGTTTTTGGTACAGTTAGTAAATGCTTATCTTACACCAATCGCGTTTTCTTCGTAGAAATGTTCCACTACAGATCTGTGCCATTTCTCAGTCTGGCCACTCCTAGCATTCTTTTAGCCTACTCCTACACTGCAAGACAGCTCGATATGGCAGTCATTGGTTGGTTGGGCCTACGTAACACATGTCCCAACCACCTCAACTGATGAAGATTGAATACTTCATCAATTGATTTGCCATCCTTACCCAGAACTCGTTTCCTATCAACTGCATCACCTACTCGATTGTTCCAAGATATACGAGCGATGCTTCGGATACTATTATGATCAAACATCGGTGACCTACAAATATCCTCTACTCTTACCGACCCTGTTCCGCATCCATATAGGACGGAGCGAACCACTGTGCAGTAGACTCGTCCTTTGGTTGGTAAATGGCTATCTCGCCTACGCCATAAATGACGCAAGTTGGTGAAAGCCAATCGAGCTTACTGTTTCTGTGCTAAGATTTCGTCAGTCACCAGGCCATCAGCACTGATGAGATTCCTGACAACTTCACTCCCTATCACTAGTTCAGGTGCCGATACATGCCAATCCTGAAGCAACTTCTACATTTCGATATAACACATGCCCCAACCACCTTCCCTCTCTTCTAACAGCTGTGATCAGAATCCTGGATGAAAATTAAAAGATTCCGTTTACCTCCTACGCTCTTTGATTAATACAAATAATTGACTGGCTCACGGGTTTATTAAGTGATATCTTTCTAATTGTAAGCTAATTCAATTATTTTTTAACTTGTAAAAGCAGTATTTCGAATGATTGGTTCAGTGAGACATTACAGAAACTTCTCTAAAGGTCGGAAACACTCAAGTTAAATTATGTTTTATCGTAATTTAACTCATTTGGCTGACTGTGTATATATGTAAGTTAAAATAAAATTACAAGTTATTCATAAATCTGTGATGAAAAGAATTCTAATGAACTGATGAAAATAATGAATCATTGCGTAACATCGGTCTGTGAAACAGGTGTATGCAACAATAAGCGGGTTTACCAATGAAACACTGAGAGCTTTGATGACAGTCTTTTTTTCTCAACCTACCAACAAACCAAAACACTTTTCATTTTTTGGGACATCTTTTATGGCCTGAAATTCATTGCACTAAATTTTGACTTTACCACAACAGATACGATAACATGCAACTACGGGGGACTCTGTGAGTACCTTGAGCTAAAGTCCAACTCATCTAGAAACAACCCGATTAAATTTCTTTTGCATGAACTGTATGCTTTGACACAAGCTAGTTTGTATGCATCTCCGATAACAACATTTATTAGCTCGTTCTATTTACTGCCTCTTGAGGTGCGGTTTCCTTACGAAATTTATAGGATGTGAAGCGTATGTCCAGAGCCTAAGGCGGATTGATGGGTTGGGAAACCCTGGTTCACATGGGCTCCAGGATTCTAGGGGAACAAATGGTGTATGAAGCTGTTGTTGTTCACTGGTTACCATGGGACCACATCTAACGTTGCCCAACTTACTTGTGGGTTAGATCGCCAGGTCAAGGGGTAGGAGAGTGATTTCCTAAAAAAAACATTTTTCTCACTTTCGCCACCCAGGCACTGGCTCCGTCCATACGCAAATTCAAGGATATGTGTGTAACAGGAATATTTTGTTGCCAATTGGACCAATTTTTATGTTATGAGGAATAAAATGTAAATCGAATCACTTCAATAATGCATCCTCAAAAAGGTAGCGTTCAATATTAATGAGGATTGCCCGGAGCTGGTGGCCGAAGAAGATGCTTGTCGGAACACCATTTGAGCGATCCCGTATATTGAATCTTCTCTGTAGTGTTTATGTTATGTGTGGTTCTACACATAAAATATAAATTATCTGTCCATATGAATGTGGGAACTCTTACAAAAAGGTTTTACAGTATTTCAGGGAAGGGTAAGATGATGATTTTCGTTGAAATTGAACAAAGAACGCATTCTGTTTAACAGGCATTGGTAATTTATTTTTCCTTGTTAAGTAACAATGATTAAGTGTGTATATGTATATCAATAGGTCGGTTGATCAAATAATAAATATGCATCAGCCGACACGATGGGATCATGTAAGTACAGCCTCTATGAGACGGTGTGGTGTGGCAGAGATACCTCAAAGACATCGCGAGCATATGCACAGTTGACGAACTACAAGTGATCCATTTAAAAGAGAAGAACTGTATGTAAATGCTAAACGTATAGCAAGTACTATCGCTTTAATGCAAATACGTCTTAAATAATGGATCAAGTCATTAAAGTTCTGTCATTTAGGATACGATTTTCAATGAAAATGGAGGTTCAATTCCAAATTAATGATACCAAGTCAACTATGTTCCTGGTCTTGACTGACTGAAGAATACTGGAAACGAATTACTCTACAAGTCGTGATGAATTAGTCGACTAATTGTTAATATATGTACGTTGTAGGCGGTAATTTCGGCTTGAACTCCCTGGTGATTACAGTTGTGGTATCTAACATCATCCAAAAACTAATACACTTGGAAAAAGGAAGAGACGTTACAGAATAGCTGTAATTGAGGGGCTCAGTCATGTCTTCGTGATAGGATTCCAGCGTTCATGCTGACCGACCTTCACTAATTTTCACTCCTTATTTAACGCTTAGGGTTATTCTACCGTCAGCACAGGCCTATCTTCCTGGTGTGCAGATTTCATGTTCCTTGATATAGAGTGTGAAGCAACAGTCAGATTGTTTAGCTGGTTTGTTTATTTGAAGTGGTGTCATTTCAGTTTCACTGGAGGATATTTCAACAAAATCATGCCTCTGAAAGAACTGAACATGCACTTTACAAATTTAGATTATAGAACATATACTTAAGTTTACTCTGATTATATTTGTAAACCAGACCTACAAGGAACAGAATTGCATATTCCAATAAACGAAGGTTCTAGCGAATTATGTACCACTATTGTGCAATTTGAATCGTCAAGACATAGATTTTAAACAGCACCTGGTTTTAGGTCAGACTATTACAAGTCTTCACAGTGTTGGATTAGGGAGACATGGTACTTCTAAAAATACTGGATTACGCAGTGAGCATCACATCGAGCTACTCAGTTACTTTTAAGATGCTCATTTCTTCATAATACCCTCTGAGCGCCAATTTTAGCTCAGTTCTATCAACTAGTGCAGTCACTAAGAGCGTTTATTCTAGTATGATTCATGAGCCTTGATTGATTCGAACACATCGAATTATGGATATCTCAGCACTCATATTATGGGTCGGTGTCATCTAATTTTAGTTCAGATTTATTTATTACTCCAGAAAAATATGATCCTAACTTATTTCATTTCTAGCACGGGGTTGGTGTGGGAACAAAATTTTTGTTTAGCATCACGATACATTTGTTTGGTTCATTCTAACTTTTAGACAGTTTATTTACTTAGACAGCAGCTGACTTTTGCTTTGTTTTAATCGTCTGGATAAGTCTATTGCTCGCATGAGGTATTGTGACCTACAAAACAACTACACGTTTTACTTCTGAGTCCTTACAATACTATGATGTGCGCTTCGTGTGAGCTCGTGTTCATAATCGTCACTCATCACTTTATTCAGTTCTTCT